GTCAAATAACACTCTTCAGAAAGTATCATAAACATTTGATCATGATAAAATTTTGACATCCATGGTGTTCTTTAAAGATGGTTCTATTTTTTTTGTTAAAGATTTGCTTCCATCTTTTTCAAATATGCATGAATTATATCAGGGGTGCTGATTTAATATTTGCTTTCTGATCAGTCATCTTGATGTAGATGGTAGTATATTATTATGTAATTGCTTAAGACTACCAGATATTTCAATGTCACACACTACTGGTATTTTATCATATTGTCTGCCATATTTTTGTGTTAGTACTTAGTCATTTAAGATAAACTCAGACAACATTTTTTTAAAGTTATAGTATAAACTATCAAAGAAGCATGAAAGGGAATTGTAGATTGTACATAATAAAATATTTAGATACAATACATGTCTTTTATTATCTCAAGTTCTACTATAGAATTATAAACATATTTTATTTCTCCATTGAGGGTTGTTTTTATCCCTCCCTAGCATTGCCTTCATCCCATTGATCCTCTTAAAAAGATATATTATACACCTATTGTACTGTTAAATTATTCTCAGTCGGTGAAAACCTAAACATTATAAACAACTTGTTTATTGTCCATGTTACATCTAGTTTTCTTTTGAATAAGTGAAAAAACATGATTCAAGTTGTTTTAATATTTTGATATCGCTCTGCAATTGAGCACTATTTGAATTGATGTCATGTTGGAAAAAAAGAGTGCTACACCCTGCTAAGTTATACATTTGTGTTTAGCCTTTAAGAGCTGTTATTTGTTTGTGAAAGATTTGAAAGGATTTTAAACATAGTATGTCTCTATTATATCAACTTAAACAGACTTTATGACTTTATGTAAATGTTCACCAACTGGATTATAACATTTAACGCTTGATTTTAAAATAGAGGTCATCTTGACCGTCAGGTGATTAATGCAATGTCAATGTTAACTCTCTGATCAATATATGAATATAATCATTTTAATTCACACTCTCTGATTCATGATTCAGCTTTCAGGTGAATAGAAATGCTGAATATTCAATTACAAACTGTCCTTGTCCCTGCATGAAGTTAAATTAAAGCCTAATGTTGACAGTATTATTACAAATTGTGAAGATCTACTTTAGATTTAATAAAGTTATAATTGAGTTGCCATGGTATTGAATAATATGTAAATAGAGAATCTGATCTGAGTTTCAATTAATTTATACTGATGACATCAACAGATGAAATTTATTATGTTGTTTGTTTCTGGTTGAATGCATTATCTATTTTGATTAATTGCAATACTGTTTTTGTCTTTAATTAATTTTGAAAATTTGTTAAAGGGGCCTTACTCCCAAACCCCTGACAAAATCTGAATACTTCCATCTGTATCCTGTAATCAGACTATTAGTTTTGTTTGACCTTGATTTTGATTAACAGACAAATCTTGTGGATTGGATTAATTAATTTATTCCTGCAAATAAAGGGGAAGTTTATCTTAAAGGCTCTAATAGCATTGCTTATAGAATGGGTGAATGTAGGATGGGTGATCTTTTCTACAGCATCCTTAATTGTCCAGGAGCCTTATTCTTGATCACTTAACTAGTTTGATTTCAGGGAATAGCTTAAATCGATTCTAGATTTAATTGTATTTGCCAAGTAGATTACTGTATTTCTTGAAGTTGAGTTTATTTTCACTTTTGTCAGACCGTAGCAGAAATGATCTGTTTTCTATATATTGTCTATAATGTTTTTATGTCACAGAAAGTAATTTATGGAACTGTTTAAAGTTGTTATTATATTCTCATTTGGTCATTTGTGAGATACAGTTGAGCCTTTCAACTAACCTTAATATTCATCTCACAATACTTGAGATAGTTAATTTTCTCTGGTCTCTTGATACTGGAAATTACTACTACAATTTCTACCATTACATCCTAGGTAAAGGTCATCGGAAATTGTTTTAGGTCTTTAAGCTTACCAGTTATTAACATATTAGACAAGAAGCACTCAATTGGATCCATAATCAGTTGACTTATTTTATGAAACAGGTCATTTATGAAGTTATGGACAATGATGTAATTATATATCATAACAATACTGTTTGTCTCAATGGGGGTGCTAGTCTTATATAGTCAGGAGATATCTACCTTACTTTGAATGACCAGCCTCTCTCTGAAGCAGGTGTATCACTGTTTTGGTAAGTGGTAAAAATCCACCATACCATTTTCAGAAGTCAGATCATGTTTGTCCACGTTTAGCTAAATAATTATGTATATAGAATATCTCAGAGAATTTGTCTTTGTTGGAAAGTGACTTAGTAACAATGTTGTGTACATAAATAAATCCAAGTAACATTATCAGCTATCGAACCTCAGACAGGGAGATCGATCTGACAATCTCAGTTGCAGGGCTGCATCATGTGTTCTGTAAATGTGCTAACAGCCCTTCCAGTTTAAATGTAAGAAAGGTTTGGACATAAGAGCCTAAATGTACATAGAGGATTATCTCTCTCAGAATATTTGCTTTACCTGCTGATAAAGCTGAATCCACACATTATCATATTCAGTTATTTCTAATGTTATCATCTGTAATAACTGCATTTTGGAACATGAATTATTGCCTATAAGTGATTTGTTGTGAATTGTAAGGGATTAGGATGAAAAATCTACTGTATCTTAAGCTTTGTATTATTCTCTATTAAACTATGAATATGGTAGATCATACAGGATGATCCTGACCTTACTGTGTGATACATTTCACTGATTGTGTTTGATAATGATTTAAGATAATGAGTGTCTTTGTTTTGTCATTCCTATTTTGGTTGAAAATTGATATGCAGTATGAAAATCTATTAACATATATAAAGAATAGTTAATGAAGCTGTGACAAACTCAATAGATTGATGTTAAAGATGTGTATCATTAAATCTCTTTTCTATAAACAATACACATGTCTCTTAACTATCTCAATATTCTGACTCAATTTATTCTCTACAATCAGTTTCATTGTAACACATACTTTAACCTGTCTTTATTCTTTAATGGCATTACTTCTGCTTTATTTCAACACCTAATATGGTAATGTGTCTGATTTTCTGCTACAAGAACGCATACAATAGATTGATAAAAAGCTAATTTGGTATGATCTAGTGTAGGAATAATTGCAATAATAAAGTGTTCAGCCAGGGATGATACACATGACCTGTCATCTTCTATATTAGAATTTACCCATACACTGTACATTGTAATTATTCAAAATTAAATGCTCGATAATGTGGAAGTGGAGATGTGTTTTTGTAGTTTTTTCTGTGCACACCAATGTTACTATCAAGTTGTGTACTGTACTTCTAGTAACATATTCATTAAAAGTAATGACTTTCCACAATCTTTCAAGGATGCAACAATTTTTCTAGACATAGCAAGTGAAGTGGAAAAGGTTATTTTGTATACTACAATATGATAGATTATTCCCTGAAGTATTTTCAACATCAAAACCAACTCATCAATAACAAATATGAAAAGCTAAAATCTGAAAATGGTTCCAATTATATTGTTGACCTAGATTTCCAATAATCAAAGATTGACTGAGAATGATTATTATTGGTGATTTGTTGACCTAGTTTTGCTGTCAGAAATCTCTTAACTTGTAATAAGGAGTCCAAATTATAGAGTCCAAATTAAACTAATATTATGACAAGACCAATGGAGTTTTTATGTTGGATATGTTGATTTCCTTCAGGGTTATTGACTGTTTAAACTCGACTACAGGATCAACAAATCATACAGTGTGATTATTGTATTAATGACACAACATTGACTTCTGTCGATTCTTAGTCAGTTGAACACTGTCAATATTGAATTGTAAAACTTTTCTTTTTTTTGCTGTCTGATGTCAAAACTTGAGAAAACATGTAAAAAAAAAAAGTGCACTAATTGTTAATGCTCACTGATGTTCTACAAAGCTATTTGTAATAATTTGTAGGCAATAAGTTACCTTACGGTGTAATTGATTTCTAATATTCGCCTGAGCAAACTAGACAACCAAAACTTCACTTGGCATTGCCAGGTTTTTGTTAACTGGTTTTGAGACTCCGATAGTAAGCCATGTCCTTTTATATAAATTTATTATTTATATTACTACAACCTTTTAAAAATTCAATATAAAATGTAAACTCAGGCATGGTGTCATCACTAGGAACATGTCACCGTACTAGTGACTTGGGTTGGAAACCAAGGATTAAGCTGTTGATGCTTCTTTCAGTACTTGAAAACTTTCAAAAAAAGAAGTATTTAGATTGATGTATGAAAATTAAAATAAGATGTTGAAGTTAAGGGGTGAAAGAGTTCCAATAGAGAATCTATAAAAATGGACTAAGTAGATATATACAGTGTCAAGGATGGGTTGATAATAGCCTCAGGGATATTTGATAATAATAATGATGTTATTGATAATCTAGTGGTCAATATCTACCCTGCCTGTCTACTGTACACTATAATTGATTATTGTTTGTAGAAGGACTATATATACAACTATAAACAATGATTTGACAGTACTGTTACTGATGATTTGACTGATTGTATCGCTACGTTATTGGTCACTTGTAATTAGTCTTTAATTATTAATTGGTAATCAAGAAATCAGGTTTTTTGTATCTACTTATAATCTCTGAGGATTACTGGAAATGGCATAAAATTATTCCAAATATTCTGGCGGTACTTTTTTCCTGTCAGTTGTAGGCATAGCAATGGAATAAGAATTTTTTTTATACTTGTTGCACTGTATCATTGACATCTAGCAAGATTTATTTTGTGGTTGTATTTGTAGTAAATTTGACCGTAGTAACCTTTTGAAATGGACTGTGATTCCTCTCTATAATTTGAGAAATTCTCAGCTGAAATTCTGAGCACAGTATCTAATCTGTAGAGAATGTTGTGTGTGTTGACCTAAAGGGAGATAACTTGTGTACTTTGTATGTGTAAGTAAAGGTTAGCTTAGACACTTTTTATCAAGAGAAATGGTAAAGCAGTGGAGTTGTTTTCTGTCACTCGGAAGGTATATTTTGTTTTATTAAGAGATAAAGTGTCTTCTGTAGTGAAACTGTGACAATGAAAATTTATGTAGTAATGTATATGCTTGAGGGAGTCAGTTTTGCGTCAGTTTTCTTGAAATTTATAGGTCTTTTCGATTGGATTGTCCAGAACATGTTCAGCACACTTGCTGTTCTGGGTCAAATTGAATGTGATAGAACAGGATGTGTTGCACTTTCACATGGCTATCAACATCTGTGTCATTGCTGCTTTGGTAGCAACTGAATTGATAATTGACTTTGATGAGAATGATGATGATTGTGATATAGTGTTGTTTTCAGCAATCTTATAATATTGGCCTTAGATTTAGTGTTTTCAAAATATTCTTTAAATAACACACAAACAATGTCTGTGGGCTGTCTTAGGGAAAATAACTTATTAAATAACATTAGTTTTACTGAATTAGAATGATTGTGTTATTATTTAAAGAAAAACTATTATTAAATGTACATTTGTGTGTCGTCAATGTGAATTAGTCCTTCTGGCTTACAAATGGTTTTTCAAAAAGGCTTATGCGCATTATCTGCTTGTTGTGTGACAAAAAACACACTGCATTGGCATCTGATCAACATGCTTGTCACATAGTATGGTTTGGACAGGTCCAGGACACTATGGTTTTCTGCTTGATTGCTGTTCCCCTTGTCCTTAAAACTTGAATATACATCTATTAATATTGAAATTATTTAATCCTCATATTGACCTGATGAGATATCTCATATCATACTGCTATAGAGATAACAGTTTACATCAATTTGTACAGGTGTAAAGATAACACTTTCTCAGATATAGAATTTGTCTATTATACATAAATAATCATATACAGAATATTTTCTAGGTAATATGTTTAGAATACGTGATTAATCAAATATGGAATATGTATGGATTATGTAGAATCAAACATGGAATATGCTTAAAATACATACTAAAACAAATATGGAATATGTGTAGAATACATGATTAATCATTTATGTGTGTAAATAACTACAACGATTTGAAGGAATTTCTCATTTGAAAAGAGTCAACATATTAATGAAATGAGAGAAGGAAATGTCATTTAAAAATAAACATATAAATTAATCAGTCAAATGCCATTTTAAGAGAAGCCACAAAGTAAAGATACACGCAAACCCACATCAAAAAATTTTCTTTGTGTAATTAATCTTGATTTGTAATTTTGGTAAGGAGAAAATAGTTTTTTTCTCAAATCTTGTCTTTCATCTTACTTTTCCAGCATATAATCAGCTTTGTAGAATCAAGTTCCTCTATCATTTTGCCTGAGGCTGGAATTTATGTTTTCTTAATCTTTCCTAAAGTAGGAAATTCACCACATGATGGTCTTTATCATCTCATGATGAATATTCAGAAAATTAGAATTAGGATAAAATTTAGCTTAATAAGTGACTTTTATACAGACAAAGAAAGTCCATTTAATTACGAAAAAAATTATGTCTATTTTCAGAGTGTACAGAAAGAGATTGAATCAAGATCAAAAGTGGTTTCTGCTGTCCTCAAGCTAAGTGGACGTCTGGAGAATGAGTTTGTGTCTGATTCAGAAACAGATGATGGTGAATCAAGACAATTGGTGGCTGTTAATCTTGAAAGACGTTGGCATGGTATTTGGCTCCTGTCATTAGAATGGCAGTGTCGTTTAGAGGAAGTTTTGAATAAGAAAAAGGTATGATTTTCATTTTTTAAGTATCAAGCAAAACAATTCCAGTAACCAAATATCTCACCTAAAGCATGATAAAATCAGGAGCAGCAATTGTATAGTAGTGGATTCTCAAATGAGAATCACCATCAGGTGTTTCGAAAAGACTAAGCATGATTGCCTTGCACTCAGCTTAAAAATTACCTTAACATTTGGACAATTTGTTAGTTCATGATAGATCTGATAAGAGTAAAAATTTACAAATTTTCCCCATACTTCTAGGAGACATTTTGTGGATGATATATTTTATAGCATGTCTAATTAGTGGTTTTCAGTTAATGTAATAAATTTGGTATTGGTATTTTTGTTGTTGTCAGAAATGACCAATTGCAGGAAATATGGTGACTATACTGAATAAACTGTTGTATTGATAATGCTGTCATAAATATAAAATTGTTAACAGCTAAACCTATCTTATTCCTATAACAATAAACTATTAATAGCAGGATTAAAGCCCAAGGCTCCCTTGATGTGGGCAAAATTTTAATTATACTAAAGGCAGGTCTTGTGCATTTCATATGACACTGACAAAGGCTTCACAATTAAAAACACCATATTCAATTTCATGTTGAGTGTAATTACATGGTTAAAATCAATACTATTGTTGAAATAGAATATATCAATCTGTCAGAGATGAGGTGAAAATGATAACAATATGCATTAGTTCATCACTTTATTCTTATGATATTTATTTTGTTACTATGACAACTTGATCTTTAACTTCTGCTACTACTTTAAGATTGACTTGATAAATATTTTTTCATTTTCAGTCACAATTACAGTTGATTCAATACATGATCAGGTCCTTGTTAATACTTTCCTTTTGATTGTTTAAAATTCAAATTTTATCAGAAAGTTGATATAGTTTGAAATGATAATTATTTGATAGTCAAAACAAACCAGTTCATTTAAACTACTAGATAAAGGTCACAACTATATTTAATGCACATTGTGCCTTTCTGGGTGGTTTTCGAATTTGCCTATTTTGAATTTTCAGGAATTTTTGATCAAGATTTACCATGTTTAGGTTAAATGTTTTTCACATTGATAACAAAAATGGTTCAAATTGTATGAATTGGCTTGAATTGCTGATTCTAATTTTAAGACTAAAATATTCTGTGTAAGAAAGCCAATAGATAGATATTGAATGAATGAATTTGATTGGTTCTGGTCACTAGGTCACTATAAGCGTTATTAATTAAAATTTAAATTCAAACATATTATGAGATTAATACTGACTTTGATGTATGATGATAAATATGTCATAATTATAGATTTTAAACTGTATAACTTCATTGGTAGTCTGATCTTGACAGTAATGTATATGAAAATGCTCTAAGGCTTTGAACTACTATTATAACAAAATTTTGGTCATGGTTAACTACATAGTACTTCTCATCTTGTTGACATGATATGGTATTGAAAGTTAATATTTTTAGTGAAAAATCTTAGTTTTAGATATTTTTACAGGGCTTTAAGATACTATGACTCAAGATTTCTATATAACATCAGATGTCGACACGTTTATATTGTGTTGAAACGTAATGTGCCCAATCTTATTAAAGAAGTGTGTTATATTCCATAATATTGTCTTGTGTTTTGTTATATGTGCTCCTCGCTTCTAAATGACATTCAAATCTTTATCAAGATTTCTATAGACCATTATTGTTGTTTTATCATAAATTTTTATAGTAATGTAACTTATTATTATTTTAATAACTTGTTGACTCAACAAATATTATACATATTTTCTCATGGGTTTATAAATATACAGGCGTTGCATTAAACCCATTATTAAACTTCAATAAAGATTATTCAGTTTGATGTCTGAATGCTTTATTAAATGGTATTACACATATATATTGTCAAAAGGTTTGCTTTTAACATAGTCATATCATAGTTGAGTGAGCTGTTACGCATGCTTGCCTTAAGCTATGTCACCCCATGTGACCTAAAAGTTTTACTTTTCACTGTAAAGTGATTGGATATTGAAAGGCTGTTTTAACGGGATGGTAATTTTAAGTTGATTATAGTGATTAAGGATTGACCATGAGCAGGTTAGATGTGCATATTTTGTAATATTTTATGGCCTCACGTCCTCATTTTATGTAGTTCACAAGGTGAATGCATTTCAGATGTAGAAGTGTATAAAATATCAAATGTAGATATGTGTAAAATTAGGACGTAGATTGTCGATATGCTTAATTTACTATATATCTAATTAGATTCCCTATGTTTGCTGAGAATGATGAAATTTCTTCTCAGTAGCATACGATATTAAATGAATTAAAAAATGTATATATTTTTAAATGGGTAAGGTTTCTGCACAATAGATATATATTTTGTTATTTATTTTCTTTCATCTTGATACCACAAAGCCTGAGGGCTGAGATTTTTTTCAAAGAAAAAAATATTCATCTGCAGAGCTAGATTTGAAATTTAGTTGACCCAATTTGAAATTGAGGGTCAGAAGAGTTGTTTTATTTGGTGTGAAAAGAGTAATTTGGATGTTAATCATATAAATGAAATAAGAGCAGACTGAATTTATGAGGTGTCAATATGACAGTGACAGCTGTATAGGACTATTGTAAATATATAGACATATATCATTAATAATTGATAGTTGTCTTAGATAACTTCTCTCTAGAAATGAACAGGGAGCCACGGTGGCTCGAGTTAGACGCAGGTAAGAGGGGCTGACATGGAAAAAGCGTCTAGTCTTTCGAATGGGACATTAAACCGAAAAAGAGCAGGTTAATGCTGCTGTCCTGGTAAAATTCCCCTCAACGCAATCTGAATGGCGTTGCCTGTCTTCATAAGCCCACATTGAGCAGAAAAGTAGGACGTAAAACCCCATTCAATTCATTTCATTTCTAGATATGAACATGTTTATTGATTAGGTGATCACTAAAGCATCTTCACAAACCTGCTATTTTGATGGTAGTTTATAATTTTATTTAAGGTACATGTACTTATGTCACAATGAAAAGACACATCTTTTATTTTGCTGTGCCAAGAATTTCAATAATGAAATTCATCTGATACATGATTTGTCAAATGATAATTAAAAAAGTAAAAAATCTGAAAGCAAAAATGGAATGATTTCCTTCTCCAACAATTGAATAAGCAGTTTTTAAAATCTTGTTTTGATAAATTTGTAGTTTTGTCTTGGAATTATTCTATGAGCAGAAATTATCTGGTTGGTAAATTTTCATTGGTATAGTATTTCTTGACTTACATTTCCCATACCTGTACCTGTACCAACCTAAACATACAAGATCACAAGTATAAGGATATTATAATGTCATTGTTGAGTATGGTAAGAGTTGATGGTGTTTTACAAGACATGATTATTTGTGTATATCTAGGTTCATTACGTACAGGTAGATCAATATTTTATAATGAAATCGTGCTATTTTGTCAGGTAGATGTGTGTCTGTATAGATATATATAGAGAGTCTCATATCTCACTGTTAATTACATTATTATATTGGGTGATAATAGAGACAACAGATGTCTGATGGTTGGGCGATCTGACCTGACAGACACATGCATCTCCATTTCACATTTAACAGTTTTGACTTTAAAATAAACTTAATGGTTTCAGTTTTCAGAAATAGTTTTCTATCATGTAAGAGAAATTAAGCAAGGAAATGATATTAGTTGAGATGTTCAGACATATTATAGGTCAAATGAAGTAGACACTATGACAGCTCAATGCTATCTATGATTTAAGAAGATATTTGAAGAACTATTACTGTCTGATTGTGATAGTAAAGATCACAAGAGAGACAGTTATTTTAGGATTAGAGGATAGTGGAGGTAAATTGGTCAATACAAGACTCTATAGAGAGTTGCAGGAAGAATAAAATGTTATTGATTCCAGTACTAAGACAGTAATCACAGAGTAGTTTTGGTACTATATTAACCTACACAAGCCTTTATTAACCTATTAACACAGTCTAGTATCTTATATCTGACCTAAATGACTAGAATCTTGAGAAAGTGACATCAAAAACACAGGAAATTACTTTACTGGAGCACTATTACTATATTGTATAGATAGTACAAGTACAAGATAATATCCAGTTGATGTTTAAGGTGCAGGTACACAAGCGGTTAAGTAAAATCTTGCATGTGCCCGTGCTTCATGACAAGATTATCGTGTCCCCAAAGGATTTAAAATATCTAAACAAGTTTGATGATTGTCTCTGAGAGTTTTATCATCTGCAAGACAAATTGTCATCATCCAATCAGATTCATTTTACTTTGAAGTACATTGAAATGGTGGAAAACGAACGGCTGGAGATTTTTGTCGATTGAAAGAAACATTTCTGTTAAAAGAGTAAATTGTTTAAACAACCTAGAGTAATGTTATGTTTTTTTTTCATATCAAATCAATATTGTTCTAATGAAATGTAAAAAGAGAAATCTTGTTATTGTTAGAAATCATATATTTACACTTGATTGATAAATCAATACATAAATCAAAAACTTATATAGAAGGTATTCTTTAATTAGTATTTTTACTGTATTGTGGTTTATGGTGCATGTCACATGGCAGTGTTCGTTATTAAACTCATGTTATTGGTCTCTTGAGAGATTATTGGCATGATCAGAGAAAAACAAAAGGTTATCTTAAGGAAAACGCAGGGGCTTGGCATCAATCAGTACATTTTTTTGGAACTCAGTTTTGCTCATATGCTGCTTTTACAGTCTGATAGAGAATTTTGCATTAACTGTAAGTTTTTTCACAGTAGATCTGAAGACAGTTTCACAAATAGTAATCATCTCAACTGAAAATTTGTAATATACTTTACTTTTAGCTCATATACCTGACTTTTTAGTTCATAGTTTGAGTAAACAAAGTTCAAAATCTCTCAATGTTACCTGATAGACAGTAGTAAATGACATCTATAGTAAAATGTAACATTAACTAAACTAATTATTAGAAACTGGCATGAAATGTCTGGTAAATTAACTTTATTTTGTGTGAAGATCAACACACTGTACACTTGAAATGTGTGGAGAACAAAGGCAAGTTAGTTACATTGATTAGTTACTATTTCTAGTTGACTGTATATAGTTTAAGTAAATAGAACTCAATGGACTCAATACTATGATAAAAAATGTATGTATTTTTGAAGTTGAAAGGCACAAAACTGAGTCCCAATTTCCGAGAAAGGCAGAGTACATTGTCACCTTTGAATTTGAGTAACATAAGATAAAGTTATGTTTATTTTTGAAGGTTTTTTTGGATAGTTATGTTAATTTTTCAGGGTCTCTTTGGATAGTAATGTTAATTTTTCAGGGTCTGTTAGGATAGCCTATCAGTTTAAGCTTACACGTATAGTAGTTGACAAGTTGTTTTCTACTCAATATATGTTGTCACCAATATATACTGTACTCAATGAATACCAATATAACTATAAAAAACCTATGAAATACTTTCAATAAATGACAATATTATGTTGATAATAAACCTTGTCCCATCATTCAATTGACAATTATTGAATAGGTCAGATCAAAGACTATTAAACTATATTAGATTTCTATAGTTAATTCACTCAGTGGGATATTTTATTATACTTTCAATACAAACTTGTTGATCTTAAATTACCTTATGTATGGAAATTGATATAGTGTTTCTCATATTTTGCTTGATATTGCTGAAAAGTGAATGATGCATTTTGTTTGTTAGCTTTTTATGATAACACAATTGGACCCCATTGTCAGTAAATTGTACATTTATGTTATTTTATAATTTCAGAGCTTGTATGGGTCAGGACTTGATTTTGGTAATTTCCGTCTGCCAAGTTTGGAAGAATCCTTTGCCAGTGACAATGGGAAGGACTTGACCAATAGCAGCTATGGTGATTTTGATGATAGTTTTAACTTTATAAGTTGTCAAAGAGACGTTGTTGGAGATACACCAAGTCCCACTGACATTGCTCGTCTGTCTTTAGGAAAATCAAGTTTCCTGGATAAGAGCAGTGGAGACAGTGCCAATATCAGTGAGGCTGAGTCAAAGATGGAGGAGTCTGTTCAGGGAGGTGAAAGCAATGAAAATATCTCTAGTGAAGGAGAGGCAGAACTTCTGCAGCGTACCAAAAATAGAGTAGAAAGCAAGGACGTAGGATATAGTAGTGAAGGTCATTCAAACGACGAAGCCGAACTTCTTCGGCTACAGATGCTTGAGGACCGTTACCAAGGACTTGTTCAGGTTGCCAGTGACAGTCCTTTAGCAAATGAAACCATGAAGATTACAGATAAAACATTGAATCCAGAGTACTACTTCATGACAACTGTAGATGTTGATTCCACAGATAAAACTACAGATAATGATGATGTCTATGATTTTGAAAAATACAGCACAATAAATGGCTTTAATGATATGAAAGATGGATTTGAGATTACACCAATAAAGATGGCACCTACAGTCAATCTCAAGCAGACGGATAGTGATAGCATATCATTGTCACCTCCTCCCATAACACTTAACGGTCAGGATATAACAAATATTACCAGTGAAACATCGGAATCCGACTATTGCATGGAACCAACTGAAAAAATAAAGCTGTTGATTGACAGGGCTGAAGACTTGGTGAGGTCACCAAAACAGTTCTTCCACTCTACACCTGACAAACAGGAACTTAACTCTTCTCCTGTCAAACTAAAAGTACCTAAATCACCTAGCAAACAGACTCAAACCACACAAACACTACCAATTGATAGCAGTAGTGTTGTAGAAACATCATGTGATGCTAGTGGAGAGGAAACCGATAATGAAAGTTCTGGTGAGGAGTTTTCTACTGCATCTGATGATTCCGGTGATGCCATGTTTGACAGTGTTATTTGTTCTGATTACACCTCAGACTCCCGTGCTGCTAGTCAGGAAAGTGTATCATTCATCTCTCCAATTAAACCTGTGAACTTTGAATCTGTCCAATTAAGAAGTAAAACTTGTAGAAATGGTAAGGAACGTCCATGGAGTTTTATGGATGTTCAGGAACTTAAGAAACAGTGTTCTACATCTGATGGTGCTATTAATCATCCCTTCACAGACTCTGATTCTCCCACACGTAGACCTAATCTTAACTCATTACGACAAGGAAGTTCAACATTCCCTAGGCAGCGGACCAAATCACATCATACTAGACGTCTCCTGTCCTCTACAGAATCATCATCTTTAAGAGCTGCTAAACGCAAACTTCATTACCCTTCATCTGAAACTACATTATGTCCTGAATCACAAACTGATCAAGTTGTGCCTTGTTTGATTAAAACTGACGATGAATTGACACCTATAAATCAGAAAGATGATTTTGGTGAATTATTTGCTAGTGCCATGTTAAAAGCTAGTAGTGCTAATAGTAGTTTGAGTGAATCTGATTCTGAAACCTCAGGTAAATATATACTTTAGTGTATTGATTAAGAAATGTAAATTTTGGATACATTTGATTGCCAAACAGATTCCAGATTGACTAATAATATACATTGATTCTACATACAATACTGAAATACTGAACCATCCAAAATGAATATCTGTTAATTCCTTTTTTAATTTTTATGTTTTGATTTTCTGTTGATAAAATAATGTATAATGAACTATTTTATAGAAGCCTATGATACAGCACCACTAGAACCATTAACATCAGAAAATGAGGATGTTTTAAACAGTACTGGCTCATTCTCAGAAAATGCTTGGGATAATTATCAGGTATACTTAAATAAATTTATTGCAGAGGCTAACTTTCCTTCTTTAAAATAAGGAAACCAACCGATTTCAAGATTTACAAACATGAAAGAGACTGGATTCTTATTTTCAATAACAGATTAAACCAAGGAAGAGTCATAAGCAATAGCTAAAACTTGTTGAAATGGTGTTATTACAGGCTCCATTATACCCTACAGCCAGTGAAGATCCAGCTGAAGAACCATTACATTGGGAACCTACTGATGAAATGGAGTTTGATGATGAATTTACAATCCCTAGTGATAGTATTATAAATCATGTCCTGGCTGCCTCTCAAACCAATACATTGAAGAAAAAATCTAAACCAGTAAGATATATTTTTCATCCAATGTCTTATGACTTTCATGCTTATATTGGTTAAGTCTGAAAAAGTATTCTTTAACAGTTCAATATAGCTATTGAAATTTTCCTTAACTCTTTCACAAACTTCACAATGTCGAACTATTACAACCTTTCTTGTATTACTGTAGTTTGTAAATGCAGTGATTTGTAGGCTAGCAAATACAGGCAATCAGAGATCTCAACAATTAGTGTTTAAATTTTGGCCACCCTGAAACCCTGGTCTAGCTACAGGCCTGTTGCAACGTTAACAAGAAGTATATCACAAACTTGAATAAAATAAAATAAGAATATGTTATTGTAGTTACCAGTCCCGAGCCAGTTTGATGATAGTGATTCTGATATTGAAGATTTTCATCATATAATAGATCAAAGTAAATTGCAACTTAAGAAAGCTGACCAGTCATTGAAGAAGAAACGTAAAGATGCAATGGGAACTGGTATACATCTAAATCCTGCCAAATATGTAAGATTTACATTAAAATTTCGGCTAATTTGACCCTGTCTGTAAAAGATTGTAGAATAACTGATCTTGAATCAAATATTCTACAATATTGCCTCCAATTCTAGATAAAATCTACAGGCAAAGTTACGTAAATGAGATATAGAATGAGTTTAAATTCTAAAGTCAATATTTTAATGTGGATGTATATTGCTGTTGCTCCTGTACTTTGGACTGTCCATCAATCCACACTTAGCTTGTGAATGCAATAGAGCCAACATATTTTATGAAATTTTATATTTACAAGTTCAAATTAGGACATGTTATGACAATAGTTGAGTTTCAAACCTTAATATACTGAAAATATATGAAAACGCTAGGGGCAACAGTCAACATTGTATTTTTGTCTGTTTTTTTTTAAAAGAATTGTGTGTGCGTTTATATCCAAAAAGTTCTCTGACAAGTTCTAATTTGGGTACAATGCGACAAATATTGACTGAGTTACGGCCCTTGATAGACTATTGGGAAGTAGGCTAGGTAACTTGTTGTTAAATAAGACGAGCAACATTGGTTCTGGACATTGACAGTTATAAACACAGTTATTACTGTTGCTATGATATTTAATTTACACATTGCAGGTTGAAATATTGTCTACCTGTGAGACTAACAAGTCTTGTGTAGAAAGTATTTGTCAGCATATGACTACAGATTCAGTTACAGATTCTGATGTCACTAAAGTCCAAGGTATTTTATCACATTAAACTTTCTTATACTTTTCTAAATGTCGTTTTTCCTGTCTTAGAAACTTTTTCCAAGTTTATTTCTTGTAAAAAAACATGAATTTTCCTGCTATGGAGGTTATGTTACCAATGTGAATTTTGTCAAGATTCACCCAAGAAATTCTTAGTAATAAAAAAAGTAGTACTTACTGATTGTTTTAATTGACAATAGTCTACAGTTAGTCACTTGGTTTAAATTATATTATGTTAATGAACTTAATGCTTAGGGTGGTAACTGTAAATAGGTTTAAATATTTTACATTTTTTGGGATTAAGTTAAAAAAAGTAAAAAAAATGGTAGACCTAGAATTAAGTATTACTATTTTAATATTATTATTAATGACCTCCATATTTGTTATAGATCTTTTGTACCAGTGGGAAAAATTACATGCTCTAGCTACAGAAAGATTGTCACAATCTAGACAGTTAGCTGACTTCTTTAAAGAATTAGAAGATATGAAGTTGACACAGCGTAATGTACAAGAGTCTTTATCTCATACCAGTTTTAATTCTATACAGGAACTCTGTGACTCTATTAGAGCATTAAATGTAAGTTATTATGTTAGTTGTTGTAATTGACCAATCATATTTTAAATTATGAATCACTTTTGATGTTTTTGACCTCTTTTTATGCTGATTTTTCATTATCATTTTTTGGAAGAATATTCATAATTAATGTCAGAAAATGTGTTTTATTTAGTATTTGGAATTAAATACAATCTAATACTTTCTCTACTTGAATAAAACACAAACAGTATGCTAACACTAGTAGAAATATTTAAATTGTTTTTTACAGGATCATCAAGAACTATTAAAGGATCAAGAAGATCATATAACAACATTACTTCAATGTGTTACATTATTTAATGAAACTCATGAATCAATTAATACAGATAAATATATTACTGATATATCAGATATACAACAAACTAATACAGAATTACAAAAATGGTATGTTTTTCTTTTTTTCTTGTAAACTTGAGCTAGAAAGTAAATATTTATTTTTCTTAGCCCTTTGTCAGTAATTTTATTTATTATTTTTGTCCGAATCGGAAGATGAACTTCATAGTTTGAGAATGAGTTTGTGTTGATAAACATATCAAATTATGAATATGTTACTATTTTGAATTTTGTTTTTACACAAGGCAATTTTCAGCCTAACACAAATGTGTATAAATTTCTTAAATGTTTAAATGAGTTTGTATTTTACGTAATCCAACAAAACATATTTTTGAAAAACCAATTAAAGACTACTAGAACTTTGAAGCTGATATTCCAACTCACTTATAAAGTATTCAACAGAATTATGTAATTTTTGCTATATTGTAATATTACAGGGTAAAACGACAGGTTAGAGAACAAGAAGAAAAGTTAGATGTATTAAAAGATTATAATGATAGTAGAAAAGAATTAGATTATTTACTATCTCAAGACCGTCTCAAATTACAAAAATTATTAGTTCAACATGAAATTGGTATATATAATTCACCCACTCATTTATTACGTGATATTGAGGTAAGCTTTTATTTACTGTTGAACCCTTTGAACACTGAGAGTAAATGAAATATAATGTCATATACCCTGAACTTCCAAGTAATATATCTTAAAGCGCATACTTGATATAGGCCTCTGTACTGGTGGCTGGGATATATATTATTAAATTATGTGTCCTGTAAACCAGCTACTGGGGTTGAGAGTGTTAAGTACTTGAAAGTTTGTGACTAAGTTAGCTGTACATGACTGTTGTTGCCCTCTAGTCAGTCAATACATTAAAACTATGTTGTTCTTCAATTATCATTTTCGCAACAACTTTTAATGACAGATTTATTAAAAATTTCTTTTGTCTATTTTCAGGATATTCAATCCAATCTGGAAGTATATGAATCTAAATTACAGTGCCTTTCACAACTTCGATCTCGTTTATCATGTTCATCTGATGATTCCGCCCAACGTGATTATTTAGCATCAGTAGCTGATTTACGTAATCAGTTATTTACTATTAGTAAACGATGTCGAGATGCCAGATTAGATTTAGAAGATGAACAATATCTACGTACTGATGAAGCTGATTATGTCAGTTCTGAAACTGATGTTCATAGCGCCAGTCTCCAAGACATAGGAAAATGGTAGGTTACTTCATTTACTTCTCTAAAGTTAAATTTGTGTTTTGATATTAAAAAATATATTAGAATACCCATATTAGAAAGTATTTCTTGATGTGATATTTTATACCAGTTAATTTTCCACTGTATTCATTATATGCCAATTTATTTAATTTTTTTTTTATATATTTCAGCAATGGTTTAGAAGCTGATACAACTGATGATAATGTTTTAAATAAAAGGTCAGGTAACAGAAGTTGGTTGTCATCATATCCACTACCATTAGCAGCTCTAGTTATGATAGCAGGTTTAGTTTATCTCATGGATCCAGAGGTCATTGATCGTATTACTAACTTCTCGGTAACCTTATCACCAGAGTTACGTTACGTTAATGGTAATCCTCCGACATAATAATATACATATTACATAAATATTAATATATATATATATATATAGTCTGTGCAATACATAATAATATTTGTATATACAGAATAAATTTACCTCTTTTATTGTGGGTAAAGATTCCTCAGTAAAGGGAAACAACTCTCTTACTAGGCTTACCTACTGATTAATAATGATAATAAAGAATTGCACATTGTTTAAGAATCTAACTGTAAGGATATAATTAGAATACAGAATATACAGAATATAATTATAATTAGAAGTTAAAATTTGATATAATATGAAATTGAAAAAGGCGTTTGCTATACTGCATAGATGTTACACTACTGGTATATAGCAATTGATTAGGAAACATGTAATTAAGAATTAATTGTGTAGGGAATTTTCTTATACCTTTTATAATGGAATATGTACATGAGGTGTATGAAAATGTAATTAAATAAAAAAAAACTAAAAAAAATAGAAAAAAAAATGTAATAACAGGTTAAGGATAAGGGTTCACATGTATTGAGATGTGAGTTTTGGGTAGAATTGATTGAAATTCTAGAGAAAGTGATGAAAGCACTTATTGTAGTTATATTGGGATATAGGTTTGAATGGTTAAAGATGGAATAGTCCCATGTATGCCTTAACTTGGTTATTGTTTTAAAACATACAAGTTCATGGTTTAGAGCTAGTTTCTGAGATAGAAAAAGTCTAAAGAAAGAAACCTTGGTTTCACGTCTTGACTAAATAATTATAAAATAAGAGACTGAATATGTCTCCATTGTAGCTTAGACTCAATGTTAAATAGATTACTATACCTAGACAATAGATGATTGAATTAAGGCATCCCCTAGTTCTGATATAGTACAGTCTTCTGTAACTTTTCTGGGATCCTTAGTAATGCTTGGAATGAAATAAATTACGATTTTCTCTTTAAAGAGAACGAATTATTATGTCAGAATCATTGGGTATACATACAGTTAGAAAGTTATGAAGGTCAGTTGCCCATTTGATTTAGCTGTCAGGTTAGTAATGTTTGTTATGGTATTATATGTATATACATATTATATACCAATATACAGTAGAATATACTGTTTATATAGCAGTAATTGCTATAGGTCTCAATCCAGAAACATTGATGTAAGAGGAAGAGAGATAATTGTCAGGACCCCTTTCTCAAAAAATCTTGATTTTTCTAATGTAAATTTTTTTGAGAAGCAGGGGCCAGGTCCATTTGCAAGTTATTTGATACCAAAATTAGCAGCATCTTTGTACTGACCTTTTGGTAACTTTTGACTTGCCTCTGATCAATGACTAGTAAGATGGAAACATGTGAACCCTTAATTAATAATGTATAAATAATAATTCATCATTAACTAATAGTTCATGTCTAAATAATCAAATATTATCATTTTATCTGTATAGATGTATGTTAAATATCATCTTCACTTTGTCAAGCTATTAAGAAGTTCAATACCTTGACAACAATAGCCACTGTTCTTGTATATGAATGCAGTGATTTGAATGGATTATATGCTAGAGAATACAGCCAGTCCTGGACAGAAAGTATACATATGTAATGATTATTGTCTGTCAGGGCTATGATTGGCTGTATTTGCTTAAATTGCGTACAATCTAATCATATTGGTGCATTCTGTGGTACAGGTAAGGTGGCTATTAGTGTCAAGGTATAAGACTGTGTTTGTAATAGATTGACATTGTGAAGATAGCTAAATACAGAATGGATAATATAATATGATATCAATGTCATCAAATTTTCTACAGTGACTGCCTTACACTTGAGTTCATTATCATTAGGTCATAATGCCATATTAACATTATCATTTCATAAACTTTTTTATTAATAGCATTATAAATGTTACCATCAATATAACAACAAAATTACTTGAATTAAACATTACCTTACAAAAGTGTTATCTGTAATTACTTCATTTAAATCACCAGATAGTGATCAATTGATAAGGTTTTGTTAAAAATGTTCAAAAACAATAAATCTTATATTATCATTCATTATTTTGAATTTAAAAAAGAAAAAAAATTCAAAATTCAAATCATCTTCAAATATCATATTTTGCTGATTCATTTGTACCAAAGTTCTAGTCTTAGATACATCATGTAAATTGTAGATTCACGTAGAAAATATGTTATTTTCATATTTAGAGGCAGCGCTATTTTGTCTCTTGTTTTGTTTTTCTACACCTCAATTCATTGCATGCCTTTTTCACTGTCATATTTTAATAGTTCCATATTCACGAACCTATGTTTATTTTCATTAATTTTAAACTTGTCTATTTCAATTTAAAGGTTTGATTTATTAGCAGCATTTAAAATGAGCTTTATTATATACCATTATTTTTTCATGAATGATTTCTATACTGTAGCATGCCACTTGGGTAACTTGTGAATAGTATATTTGCAATTATTTCTTGATTAATATACCATGCTATAATAATATATCGAGTAAATACATGTAATCGAAGAACATATTCATTTGGTGCTGGTATTAAACCATGTTTTGTTTTCATTACTGCCTAAACTTTGTAACTAATTCATTTGTAAGGAAACAATTCACATTACATTGAATATTTTCCTCAGAAACATCATAACTTGTATTTTAAATTATTTATAATTGATTGATTCTATGTTACAAGTCTGAACAGTGTTAAAAACATACTGGATAAGCTAAGCCTTCACTTAACATTGTTAAATGTACTAACATCATCATTCTATAAAAAGAATTAATGTACATATAGCAAGTTATTGTTAATTCTATTATGCAATTAAACTGTCCAATAGGATAGTAAAGCAAAACTGTCCAATGATGGCCAGGGAAACTGTCCAGAAGTGTAATAGGGAAAAAACTGTCCCAAAAAAATACCCAGCAGGGTTGTAAGGTAAAACTCTCCAACACGATAGTATGGTAAAAAAAAAACTGTATTAACAGGACAGTTAACAAAAGACATTAGACAATATGAGTGCCATAAAGAAAATGGCTGCTATTTGTATAAAGGTTACTGTTAATGTTAATGTATTTATTGTCAAGTGGAAATCTATTTGAAAGCATAATGGTTAAATAAATGAATAGTGAAGTTTTGTTTGTGATACAGTTAGAGTTGTATTACATGCTATATTTTATGTTATTTTTCAATTATTTTTAGTGCTTTATCTTGTCTTTTCAGTATATTCTTGATATTTTTTTTTATCAAAACAACAAAAAAGCCAGGGACCTGTCAATAAAAAAAACCTTTTGCATAATTTTGTTGCAAATTTGGTATTTTTTAATGTAAAATTCCACATTGACAATAAATTCTTAAGGAAAGACTTTTTCTATTGAAAGGGCCCTTGTTTTAAGTACCTAAATTGAACTTTACATGTAGAGTAGAAATATTATCCTTTTGAGGTTTTGGCAGTTGATAATAAACTATTTAGATAAAGTGCTTTATATATATTTTGGTAATGTGCTGCTTACAGTCTACATTAATTGTGTAAGTTGTATACCTATTTAATTCTACCTCTTTGTTTTTAGCACCCTCATTCAATAGATTGTCCTTAATAGTGCTTATTTCATATTCTGTTTCTCACACATCTGTCTTATTGACTATTTACTATTTGACTATTTACTATTTGACTAATGTGTATATGAATATTGTATTAGTAGATGACTAATTTTTTGTATTGTTTGCTTAATAGATTATGTACCTGACTTATATTTTGATATAAAAAAAAATTAATGGTTAATGTTGAAAATTACTATTTACATTACTGATTGTATATGCAATTACTTTATCAGGAATTTGACGTGGACATTGCAACGATAAAAGAAAAAAATCATGCCAATTTTACAAATTTCGTAAAAATATTTTATATCATGTTAAAACTATTTTCATGAAAGTGCAATCATCAGTGTTGTAAATCTAATGTGGAATATTTTTTGTGTATTTTTATACTTTTCAATATTTGAAATGGAGTTTCTATGAATGGCAGACAGGCCTGATTACTTTAAGATAAGTCAGGCTAGCAAAGCTAATATAGTATATTAGCTAATTATTGACATTTGAAATTTTGATTTGAAATCTTATGAGATTTGTGTTCATTTGATATCATTGAAACAAAACAATGTTTATTTATATAAAAAAAGTATTCTGTAGTATCAGATACTCTTAAAAAGACTTATTCAATCTTTGAAATAAAAGATATCAGTTTGAACTGTGTATTTTTCTTGGAGAGGGGGAAATGGAGAGGCATTTAGAGATTTAGAACATAGGCCTACAAAAGGAAGTTGCCTGATTGTTCAGCTATGCATACATTAAACGATCTTTTGACATTATTGGATTTTTTGATGGGTGTCAGGAACAGGACATCACATATACCAAATATTAACCAATACTCTCTATATTATCATGGGATATCATTTGTAAGATACTGGTACCATTGCATCATTGCAGTAGAATCGGTTCAAACAACATCCAAACAACAGTTCGAGCTAGCAGGTATTCCCACTCACCTTCCATGGTTTTTTTTATCACCACTGCTGCATCTGCAGAATATGTAACAAAGCAGAGATCATACATCAGAGCCGTATATAGAGATACGGCTCTGATACATGCATGAATATTTAACTGTAGTCTTAGTTTTTGTTTTTCATATTTATTATCTCCCCTTAATTATTTCTTCTAATAAAAGGTGAATATGTTAAAATTCAACCAATCAAATGAGAGTATTAGATGTTACTAGGACGCTATTTTCAGCCAGGATCAGGCAGGTGTCTGGACACATCGCAATATCGGTTTTTATTTGACATGATGGGAATTTAAACATGTTTCTGGTTGTTCAAGGTTTGGTGTAAACTGGTGTTGCAGTCTTATTTATAAAGCAAAGGTATCAATTTAATTTTGTATTGTAGATCTAATGATAAAAATATTATTTCTTCAATCCTACTACGCACCAGGCAGCTGTCTTAATTAAATAGGCAATATAAATTTCAGAATGCAGACCACTATTTTACTTCTAGCCTACTGTAATTTTTGCTTAGATAAGGACTTCAGCTTCCAACTTGTTCAAGAGATAATTAAATTTTACCTCAGCTTAGATTTGAAAAAAGTCTCTACCAGACAGTGTTGTTACACAGTCACTTTTTGTTGTATTCCAGAACTGAATTAATTGTAAATTTTACTTTTTAAGACTAAGATTAGTAGAGGCAAGAGCCTACAAATAGTTGTACAGAGAGGGGAATAGGAACGATTATGAATATTATGTGCTGACAGTGACAGTCATTCAATCATTGCTGACAGTGACATGATGTGTCTGAAACAACACTTTAACTAGTTAACAAAACTTAGTAGGCTTAGGCTTGACTAATTCAATGCTTAGTTCAGTAAGATCTACGTCATGTGAGGGAGAAACTATTGGCTTAGATAGGGCTAAGGTGCCATTCTTTATTATGCCAACAAACAGAGCAGAGGTTCCATTGTAGATTGAAAGAAATGAAAGTCATGCATAATGTGGCATTTATATATTAGTAAAACTACAAGATATCAAGATCGGCCTACTTATAAATCTGTTCTCAGCGCTAGGATATCTTAGGATCTTAACTTTCAAGAATACGTGGCCTGGTATCTGTGTTATTTTACTTAAATTCATACAACCTAAACTATGTTATATTGTTATGTGGTGAACTCATTACTGACTAAGATTGCTTATTAAATAGAATGTCATAGTACAACCATTCATTAACAATAAGTAGGTCATACTTATTATATATAATTATTGATTAAAGGACTTTGTTTATATTAGTTGACAAATACTGTTTCCATCACAACATTGGATACTTTTATCAATGGTAAAGAGTTAAATTAATTCATTAAAAATTATTTGAATAGAACATTAATTTTGATAAACTTGGAGTAGGCCTACCGGTATTGTAAAAATTCCTGCTATTAATCCTCTCATTTTAAATTTCTTTTGTAAGAAATAAGACAGTGACAGATATATTTGATGAATTAGGGAATTAATGTGGTTGTTTATTTTCTAAATGCTTATTTATTGGTCTTGAAACAACAAAGTTGTACATGGATGTTGGATTTTAAATTTGAAAGAAGTGAGCGTATTAATAAAATGCAGCTCTTATTATTCGAGCACTAATATTATGTGCTACTAATATAGATATGATCCCGGTATCCCTTTATTTGGTGAATTTTTCATTGAAGGTGTTAATTTCAGGACAGTTTCACGTCACAGCTTAAACTACCAACAAGATGACTGCAGGATCAGTGATAGTGCCTACTATTATACCATTACGTCAGCCAACACCTGGACGTTCAAAACTAGCCATAGACTCTAACACCAAGATAGAGATTAAGTCTGGTATGTAAACTAGATATTTAATCTGAACTCAGATCTAGAAAACAGATAAAAAAATCATTTGAATTGTTTATTTTGAAAACGAATGATGCCTGGAAATGTTTTGTTGGATTGAATTAGTAATTGTTTTATGAAAATAGGTATAAAACTCCAAACTTTTGATTTGAGAGAGATAAATTTGGTTTATTTTTTATGATATTTTACAGACACTCGTAATTCACCTATCCATTATACAATCAATGGATCAACACCAGAACCTTTTAAGAAGATTGGACAGAAATGTACTTTGCAGTATCATGGACCATTTACATTGCCTGCTGGACGTCAAACAGTCAAGGCTGTAGCAGTATCAGAGTAAGTTTCTGTTTTTTTTTTAATATGATGCACAACAATCAGCCATTTTTATACGCCCACATCTCTCTATGTGGACGTATATTGTTGGCACCCCCGTCCGTCCATCCGTCAACATTTGCTTGTTAACGCTCTAAAAACTAGAATTTTTGATGGAATCAAATGAAATTCGGTACCGGTTTGTGTATATATATTCATAAAAAGAAGATCAAGTTCGAATTTGAGCTATTTTCGATCGTTAGAAGCAGAGTTATTGTCCTTGCAACAAAATCTTGAATATTTACGATCCGCATGCCGTGGTGGGCGTATATGGGTGTGGTCCACTATCTTATTATTTATTTTTGATATGACAGGATAAACAGTGTTTTTACATGTGTAACATTTCTATTTTTCTGGGTATGGTTTATTGAAGACAATGATTTGAACTAATGACTATAAAGCTATACATGACATAGCTTTTGAAGCACTGTATTTATGAATGGACTGTATGGATGTATTTTGTTAAGTCACTGTTACACTTTCTCAAGCAGAAGCAGTAATATCATTTTTGATGCTTGTTTGAGCCCTACATTTTGTCACTAGAAATCTGTATTGGGATATTATTGTGATGCTAGTATGAATGTTTTATCCAAAATGTAATTGATCATGGACTATTTGTAGAGATGGTATGAGAGAAAGCTATGTGGTGACTAAAACATTTGATGTAGATTATGTTAAACCACCAATATTACCTCCTGAAGATGATGACCTTGGTTTTCAACAAGATTTAAACTTAGAAAGGTCAAAGGTGAGTTACATTTTCTTTCTAAAATAACTTATTATACAGTTTTGATTATACTATACACATGCCCTTTCTCAACCATAACAACTGAATTCTTTTTATTTATTTTTTGCATAAATATTTTGACTGTTTTAAAAGATTTACACTCTTGACAATATATTGATATTATGTTGGTTTTTTTAACAGTCTTAACTATCTGATGAAGCAGAAAAAATCTCAAATGAAAAAAAGAATTAGTTCTTTGAGTAGGTCAGAAATTTTGGATGTTAACCCCAGTATCTAAGAAATATTGGCTATTCCTTGACTGACATACATGACAATATGATTGAAAGATCAAGATTTTAGTCTGAATGAATAATTAACATTATATTCACACCTATATATCATGATTACTAGATAATCAGTTGATACCAGATTAATACTTCTAAATATACTAGTTCTTCCTATAGGTTAATAACAATAATTACTCAATTATTCATCACTTCTTGTCTTTCACTTGTTTCATCAACTTCATCACAAGCCATCTCAAAACTTCATTTGTTTGAAGTGCCCTAATGCGTATTTCAATGATTACATATTTATACTGAATTCACTTGGATATATTTATATGGTTATCTATCTTGTTATCAATTACTAAAAAAGCTAAATTTTTGTCATCCAGAAGATTATTTGTATTGAATTGTACATGATCCATATTCCAGACATTTTTATACGGCCTCATTATCATGTGGTAGTATATTGTCGTCGCCCCTGTCTGTCTGTTGGTCCGTCTATCCACAATTGACTTGTGAACACAATAGAGGCTACAGTTTTTATCTGATTTTAATGAAATTTAGTGTGATCATATATATTGATAAGATCTTGGTCGAGTTCGTATTTGACTATTATTTGATGAATGGTTTTTTGAGTTATTGTCCTTGACTTACCAAAAAATTTGTTGGCTTGTGAATGCAATGGAGGTGAAAGTTTATGTAAGAATTTTGTGAAATTTTTTGTGTTTGTTAAAATCAACAATATCTTGGACAAATGAGATTTTTGGTACAAATTGGCAGAGATTGGTGACTGCCCTTTATATACTGAAAATTTATCAGGAAAGTGGGCGTATCTTGCGAGGCAACCACTTGTAATTGTTATTGTGAAATATTTTACATCCCTTTAATGTCTTTTTCCCTATATCAAAATTATCAATATTTTTAGCTTCAAGTAAAAAGAGCTGTATCTAAAGTGACAACACCTAAATCAGCATGGAATGATGATCATTTTGGAGCTTCACAAAGATATTCAGGTATGAGCCATAAATCATGATGAATTATGTTCTGTATAATATTTCCCACAATTCACTAGTAAAGCAGGAATTATAGTCTATTGGTTACATTAAGTCATATTGAATATGAAAGACTATCTATTTAAGGGATTTTCAACCTTTTTCTTTCTATTACCTTGTTTAGTATCCTTGATTGATTACATTATCCCCTTTGCATGTATACTATTTTGAATCTTTTCAATGTAGGAGCAGATAGCCTGAATGAACAGAACATCTAATATTTTAATTGTCCAAAAATTTCATTACCCCCTAAAAAGTTCAAAATTGATCTACTTAATATGGTCTACCCCGAGGTTTTTTGAAGTTTTCTTGTGTAATTTACATCAATACTTTATTTCAGATATGAGGGTAACAGGAAGTACCAATAGAAGACCACATTCTGGTACCCGATTTCTGAATTCTAGAATGGGTCATACTTCTGATAAATCATACAGAACAGAGGTTGGTTTATTTTAATGTCATCATTATTATTTTAAATGATTTACTGTGCCACAGAGATAGGAACAAGATCTTCAATCTAACATTGAAATGTATAAGAGATTTTTTGTTTGGAGTTGTCAGATGTGTTATCTCCTTGAATTTGCAAAGAGTCACATTTGTTATTCTTTTAAAACATACAGAAATTGCAGAATTTTTTTTTGAACTTAATTGATCAGGTGATTTTATGAAATTTTGTTACATTGATGTATGAAATATTTAATTGTTGTATTTTTAGCCTCTAGATAGTCTAGATCTAGCAAGAAGCGAGTCAAGAAGATCAGCGAGACGTCTGCCACCAGATAATACAACTCAGGCTTTAAGATTACAAAGAGAAACTGATTTTCTCAAGTAGGTATATCAGAAAAGTAGGACGTAAAACTCCGTTCATTTCATTTCATTTCAAGTAGGTATATCCTTATTGATATTTATTTTATTCTTATATGATCCTTCATCCAATGACCACTTACAAGTGCCGAATTTTATTGGGCCCTTTTTCTGCTTAAGCTCATGTAAGCTTATGTAAAACAAATGTGCACAGTACTTATAATAAATAATGACTATTTTGTAGGTGTATTTATTGTTTTGCTGACCGTCCATCTGATCCTTTCTGTCGATTCTGTAATACATGTGGTAATTCACTGCCTGAAATACCAGCTAAGTTAACACCAGCTGAACCAGGGCAGGTTAGTACTGTTGTCCACAACCATAGGTCAATATTTTACTGGATTTGGCAGTACTATGTCCAAACAAAGTCCAACAGGAATTTATAGGACTTTGAAGCAAATGAATTTACAGTTGTAAAATCTGGTTTTATTCCCAAAATTGACTGGGCTATCTACTAACTAATTGAGAAACTTTAATAAAAACCATCAAAAACTTATTTTTGAATAACCATATTTTGTAGATGGGTATGTGTGTTTACTGTAAATCTATGGTACCGATGAATACTACAGCCTGTATTGTATGTGAAGGACCTATTAAGATACAGAATCAACCTAAAGCTAATATAAAGCTACATGATAAAACTGTATGTTCATTATGTGGCACGGCTAATCCGTCTAATTTAGTAACCTGTGTTACCTGTGATTCCAGATTACCAACTACAGCACAACAAGTAGGTCCATTATTAACAAAATTCAAAGCATACATTATTCATCACAAATTAATATCCATCACTACTCTAATTTGTATCTCTGAAAAGGAGGCTCAAGGGACTAGCATATTCTGGGATTGATCTGCATTTTCAATGACTGCCAGATACTAGCAACATCTTGGAGAATCTGAACAATTGTTATATTTAATAACCTAAACATACTCTGCCATCAGTTGCCATCTGCTGTTCTACTTTCTAGAAGGTTAACCTTACTGCTAAGAATCTGTGATCTACCAATGAGTTTGTCATGTGTTTTACTCAAGTAGAGTGCTATAGATCTTATGAGATACTTGTTAGTCATCAGTTGACTTGATCCCCAAATCATTGTAACAGATCAAAGAGACGTCAGCAAAATACAGGACATTAAATATTGTTTTCATTTATAGAGAGCTATGTTAAATGGAGTATCAGCACCACCAGTTAGTAATCCTGATAGGAAATTTGTTCGATGTGATAAATGTAGTAGAGTTAATAATGGTGATGCTAGATTTTGTGATTGGTGTGGATGCAAGGTATTATAAAATTATATATTAATGTAAGGTACTGCAGCATTTCCTTACCTTAGACTAGTATTGTCTAGCTACCGGTAGTATTATTCCACATGTGTAGGAAGTGAAACAATTCCTTTTGATTGAAATAGTGAGATTGTGTATAATACAGACTATACATATCAAAGATTATGGTTTATCATCAATGTCTTTTCAAACTTTCCCTCATCGCTCACAGTTTAAGATGTTTCACAGACTGACGTAAACCTCATTGCATTTTAATGCATGTTATGAAACTTTTGTTTATAGAGTGTATAGAACAAGAAGTCCAAATTTTCCGTTATATTATTGCAGGCGTCTGCTCCACCAACATTATTACAATGTTCTCAATGTGGAGCTAGTAATAATGTATACAGTAGTTATTGTGGTGGTTGTGCTGTGAAGATAGAGGCACCAGGTAGAACAGAGTACAAGTAAGTTCTAACTGTTATGAAAGTAAGGGTTTAGGCACAGATTAAAGTAGTCTGTAGCTTCCAGTTTCAATTACCCAAAGAATTTTCTGTCATGATTTCTTCAAGTGTTGTTAGTCTTAACCACTTTACCTTCAAAAATCATTTAAGAGGCAAAAGTGTTATTGATTACAAATTTTCATGCATTATATATTTCTGATTTTATTTTCAGATTAGATGGTTCTGGAAAGGTAAGTTGATTAGTTTATGTTCATATATCAAATTAAATCATTGTGTTATTGTTACTTTCCTGCTTAAGTACACAATGTAAAAGGCGGGACAAAATGTGCCAATCACTGTATCAAACCACTCCCATCCTAGAAAAATCTTCCAGTAAGTTATTTAATGAATTAATTCCTTTGAATTGTTAAATGGTTTTATAATGTTTGTTTTTACCTGTTTAGTTTCAGAGTTTATTTTTACCCGTAACCCAGACTTCTAGCCATGCTCCCAGACCAATAGTTAACGCTTCAACACAAACAGTAGGATTATTCTATCCTTCTAGAGGTCCTAGTAAATCAGAGGAAGCAACATTTGAGAAACAGTTAAAAGAAAGAAAACCATTGTTGACACCAGTAAGCCCTGGAAGAGGTATGTCCCATCAGAGTATTGTAGTAGACTATTTTAGGTTTTTAGAGTAACTTAATTGCTTTGATTTTTTCCTTAACTTCAAGTCCTGATTGATATTTAACTCAAACTTAAACTATAGGCAACCTCAAGCAGTGTGCATTGATGGAAACTTTGTCAACTGAAAATGATCTTTCACATGCTTTATCTGTATCATACAAACCACATGGTTTATTGTCCAATCTGAAAATCTAAACACCTCGGTTAACAAGCAAGCTACTCACTAGACATACTATTTTACTATATCTTTTATAGGATATTGGAGAAAGCAAGTTGAACACGTCTGTCAACATTTAAAGATATATACCCAGAATAATGCTGATTTTAGAGCTTTGATTGGAGAACCAAAAATGGGAAAGGTAAAGTGTTGATGAATAATTCATTGTCTTTTTCTTCAGATTTATACTAATTAATATGCCGTACATTTCTAATGGGCAAAACTGATATATATGCCTTTTAATACATGTTTTGATTTGAAAACTTTATTATGTCTTATTATTACCGGATTGATGATTATTTCATTGAAAAAAAAAAAGTTTTCTGATCATTGATTAAAGGGGTAACACCTTTGTTCATTATTATGAACAACTTTTCTAGTGCAAAATCTTTCAACCAGTTAAAATTAATTAAAGTGAGTTCATTGTTGGAAAAGGAACAAAATTTACCCCTAATCCACAAAATATTCAGAATTGGTTCAAATACCTTCAGTGGAATTATATGTTAATAGAATGCTATATATTACAAGTATAATCATCATATAATTTTTGTAGTTAATAACTTCAACAGTTCAAGAAGATGGATATGAACTAAGTTTAACAATGACATTCCCTCTACGTGGAGGTTCTGATAAACAAACTGGTAGTAAACTAGGTGTTAGTCATCAAGGTTATTTAAGTCAGCATACACTACGTGATACAACTGATAGAACAGATTCTGAGGATTATGGTAAGTGACTGATAAAACCTGAATAAACGTGATTATACCTGAATAAACGTGATTATACCTGTATAAACGTGATTATACCTGTATAAACCTGATTATACCTGTATAAACCTGATTATACCTGTATAAACCTGATTATACCCATTATACCCGAATAAAGGTGATTATACCTGTATAAACCTGATTATACCTGTATAGACCTGATTATACCTGTATAAACCTGATTATACCTGTATAAACCTGATTATACCTGAATAAACGTGATTATACCTGTATAGACCTGATTATACCTGTATAGACCTGATTATACCTGAATAAACCTGATTATACCTGTATAAACGTGATTATACCTGTATAAATGTGATTATACCTGATTATACCTGTATAAACTTGATTATACCTGTATAAACTTGATTATACCTGTATAAACCTGATTATATACCTGTATAAACTTGATTATACCTGTATAAACCTGATTATACCTCTATAAACCTGATTATACCTGAATAAACCTGATTGTACCTGTATAAACCTGGTAATACCTAAATAAACCTAATTCTGTCAAGAAGGACCTGATCTTGACTTTTATTACTAGTTATTATGTCAATATGGACCTGAAGTGCCAATAATGAATAATGATCTTTAAAATGAACCATATTATGCCTAATGAATCTATTTGTATCAAAATGAATCGGAACATATAGCTTTTGATAAAAGATAAAGTTATTAACAATTTAATCTGTCATGATACATTGCAGTTACCAATAATTTAACCAATCATGAGATATGGTTATTTTCTGTATTGTATTTTGAGTATAATTGAGTCAATAGCTACATCTGCACCTGTTTGTCAGTTAAGTAACATTCTAGTTTATATAATAAAATGGCCTGGTTTGTTTAATGATATTTATATCTTGTAGATAGTGAAATTGAAACTCCAAAAGCTCATAAGAAGAAAACAGTGAAGAAAACCAAAGCTAAGAAGAAACAAACTGGTCCCAAACTTTCAGTAAGCATTGGTTGAATTTCACAATTCATACTTGTGGAGCTAGGGGTGCTAGGTTCAATTCTAGCATAGGTGAACATAATGCCTTAGGATATGAACAGAGCTCCCTTGACAAATGTTAAACAAAATCGTTCTGGCAAAGTTTTCTTCATTGCATACTGCATAGATTATGCCAATCTTCATAAGCCAAAACTGATGCAGTAGAGTTAATTGTGTGAATCTATAGAAAGGCCTAAGTCTGTGCTGTGAAATTTTCTACCTTGGTTCTGTATTTGATCTAAACTAAATTTCTTGATAGCCTGAGAGAGTAATGGGTAAGATATTAATTTGTGTGTTGGGCCATTGGGTATAACAGGTTTTTCAATTACATTACCTATTTCTTGATTTTAGACTCTAGACCAACAACTATTGAAAGAGCTGAGTCATGAAGGAGAAGGAGTAGCAACTGAAGTACAACAACTCTTAGATGAAGTGAGTATTATTATAATTGTTATCACTGAGTTCTTAGATGTATGGTGCAGTGAGCCCACCTAGACAATTTTGTGGACCATACTTGGCCCGTCCACCTATGATCCCTATAAACACCACTTTATGTATAATATAAACAAATCATGAATTATTTTAGGGAGCTGATGTAAACTGTGTTGATAAAAATGGGTTACCAGCTATATATGTGGCTGTAAGAAATAAACAAGTAGATTGTATACCAGTTCTTATTGATGGAGGTGTTGATATCAATAAAAAAGGGCCATCTGCTTTGTAAGTAATATATGTCTGTATTGTCACCTTTATTCTTGGTCTTTACATCCACAAGTCACTATTATAGAGTGCTTTAATACATACAGTTCCCCTAAAATTGTGAAAATGTTCTTTTAACCTCAAGCAGTATTAAAAATCTATTTAACAAGTCTGGATACAGAATTAAATTATTGAAGAGGAAAATAGACATGAATATTGAGACATATGCTGTAGTTTTCACACTTTTATTTATTATTATCTAACCTCATTGTTTGTTTACTGTTGACAGGAAAGGAAACACTGCCTTACATGATGCTATTAATCTTGGACCATCTGGACTACATGTTATTGATGTTTTATTAGAGTAAGTTTTAATATTTTATATATATTGAAAATAATAACAAAACTCCTTTTATAGACATGAATTTTATCTAATTTAATTTACCAATAATTGTACACAATGAACCATTCCTCACTGAGAAATATCTTATGGTGCTTTTTGTGGCGTAATATATACAATACTTTTTATTTATTATATTACATAGCAGTGTCTTATTTGTTTTTTAATGTTGTGATATTTTATTTATAGAAATGGAGCTAATCAGAATCGTAAGAATGATCGTGGAGAAACACCATTAGATCTAGCTAAAAAAGCTGGTTTTGATAGTATTGTCACCAAATTTGCATCTGCCTTAGGAATGTCCCAGTTAGCTAAAATGACCAAACCCAGAAACTAAATGTGAAGTTTTATATTATACTTTTAGTAAAATAGTTCTATTTTAAATAATTGGTGCATTTATTATTCCATTCTGAAGTAGTTTCAATTACTAAGAAAAGCACAGTTAGACTACATGTAATATGTTATAGCTTCTGTTTAATAGTTGGTATGTCTATACCCTATATATAGTTTTGTATTCTAGTTAATATTTTTAACAGTAAAAACTTGATTTTATTTGCTATCAGTCTGAGATGTTGTAGATTTATTTAAGTATCAATGTAAAGTTTATTACCGTCCAAATATTTAGATATATTCCCAAGTTTACTTTGTTCTTAAATTGTATATATTTGTACCTCATCTGTGATTACCTTCTATTTTACTGTTTGAAGTAGTAAATTATTTAATATGACAATGTATGGATTCCTTAAACTTAAAGTACCAACCAGGAATCTTACTTGCTCCATTGTGTTAGAGGTATATTGTACTTTGCTCTAACAACTGGTAGATCTCAATATAATCCTTCTGAATTAAGGCTTCAACTTTACGAGATGATCAATGGAGTTGATCTACATGACTTTAAGGGCTGGTTTTAACATTACAATGCAAACAATATAAGGCACTGTGGTTAGGTAGAAATTTACCTTAAACTTTCAACCATTTCACCCTGCAAGTAACCAAATATGGGGCATTGAAAAGATTAATATGTTGGAGGGGACTGGTCTTCTAAATTATGCATTAATAGTTGAACATTGAAAAAAAGTTGGTTTATATTGCTGTCCTGCCAAAATTTTCCTTCATTGATAACTGCCATGCATTTACCGTCTTGATCAACCCTGTCTCAGCTTCATTGTGCATATTAAGTAATAACTACCAAAATATAGTCGGTTCTTTAATTTGTTTTTCAAGTGAAGACATTTAACATGAGGTAACATTTAATTTCAGAGAACTATTGTACACACGAAAAAAACACATCCAAATCTTATCTGAATAACTAACAACACGAACTGAATGAAAAAAAATAATAATACAGAGACAAGACAAACATTTAAAAACATGCTACCTTATATACAAACAATATAAACCTTGCCACATTCAGTAATATAAAATATAGTACATAGGGAATTATATACAAAATGCTTATGATAGGTAACCTTCTTTCAAACTTTTATTTTTTAATGAAAATGTTACATAATCTTTAACTAGGTTTGTTTTTTAAATGAGTTTACATTTGTATAATTTTATCCTGCAAGGCACATTTAAGAATATTTATTCTCCAGTAACTTGCAAAATTTTGTTGACAATGATGAATTCAAACAAAAAGACCAGATTTGAACCAAAATTATTAAAACTGTTAAATAATATAAGTTATTGTCTAAGTTTATTCTATTAACTTTTTAGCTTTAAAATATCTTCGTAAATATAACACTTGCCAAGTAGCTAAACCAAACAAACAACACATTGAAAATATACTAAAATACATCACTCTTGTATGTGTTGATTCTGAAATATAAAAGACAAACAGTTAATATTGTGCAAAAAACCTCTGAAATTATATGCAATAGTTTAGTCAATAAGGCTCTGTGCATTTTAATTAAACTGCTTATATCTGTATAATAGGATTTGATTGTAAATAGATCAGATGAGAAACCTTCCGGTGGAAGACAACTCAGATGTTCACTTGATAACATTTCAAAGTACATCCCCATGTTGGCTTAAAACAGAGTGATGTGTTTTCCTGATGATAAGTACTACCTAGAAGTGACAAGAGAGGTGTTCACAACACTGAGCTGCTGATAATTATGAAAATCTTACCATTAGTATCTCTCATTTCTTCTTCTCGAGCTCTCATATAAGCAAAATCATCAACTATAGACTGAGACATATCTTCTAATTTTCTTAATTCTACTTCTAAAGGTTTCAACTTATCAGCTTTTGCAATCTGAATATTAAAAAAAATGTAAAATGAATTACAAAAAAATTATCAAACCTAAATTACAATTAAAGCAGAAGAGAGCACAGTATCCCATTAGACTACACAGAAATGAGTAACCTATTCCATAGAAGCAAGGTCCAAAACCATGCCATATGATAGGAAATTCAAAATAAAAAGGAACAAGTTTTTAAGAATGGTCAAAATGCTAACATATGCCACCTTTAAAGTGAAATTTGCACTTGTTGGTCTCGTAAATAGTAATAAGGTTATGTTACAGAAGACTATATTAAATATACATACATCTTCATAACTTTTAGCTTCAACACCATGTTTCAATATGAGTGAAATTTCTCTATCAACACCATGTCCACCTGGAATAAATTTGATATTTTTTTAACAAATTGAAAACATACAAGATATCATCTGTATTTCAGTTCAGTTTAGCTTTACAGTTATACCAGACCAGAATGGAAGCTTTAATAAAAACTAGGAAGTCAATGATTAAGCAGTGGATATAAACAACCCTTCAAAAGAAATATAACTGGAAATAGAGTTTTTAGGAAATCTGAGAACTTGCACAATTTGATTTAGTTTATAAACACACCATAATGTGTAACACAATATGGAAACTATTCTTATCTTCCCTCATTGGCAAATCTATCCAGTATTGTCATCTGAAGACAGTGCAGTAATGATGAGATAATAAATTGTACAAACACACAAGTTTACCATATGGGGGATTTAAAAGGGATAAAAATCTAAAAGTTACCTCCAGGCATTTTGGTTTCAAAACATATTTCAAACATGTCATATTCTTCTGTTGTAAATGCAAATTTTCCTTTCGAAGCTCCTTCTTTAGAGTATAGAATATGTTCTTTTGAATCTGTTACCTGTAATTCAAATAAAGATGCTATATAATATAAAGTTCAATATATTATTTTCATCAACATTGTAAACAAGTTTGATAGTTTGATTTGGTGTGTCTTTATCGGGTACACTTTTATCTTCCATTTAAATCAATCTGATTTCTTGTGATATAGTGACATTATATATGGTCAAATTTCTTCAAAGAAAACAAATATATCGGATATCTCAATGACATTAAAAAAAATAATAAAATCCATATTGTATCCCTGTTCACTTACTACATGTCACTTTGACTGTCATTAGAAATATGAATGGCTTGCTGGCCCACTTGGATCTGCTTCTTCATGAAATCATTTAATAACCCAGTTGTTACATTACAGTTCAAGCTACAGTTTCAGAAATCAACCAAGGCCAAAACTAAATAGCAAAGTATAAACTCACAGTAAGATGTGTCTTTTGACCAGGTGCATCCGACAGTTCATATTCACCAGTTACCAAAACATCTTTATGAATTTCATCTCTTAAGCATTTTTTCTGATTTGGAGAGAGGTGAAACATTATTGCATTTAAATTCGTAATACATAATGTCATAAATAGAACAAAAACTTGAAAATATTGCATTTTAAACCTCATTTCTCTCCTTCTACCAAACGTGTTGTTACAGGAAGTGTTCACGTTTGTAACGTGGCATTCGGCAATTTCCGTACACGTCCGTTATATCCGGTGATTGGGAACAGAAACGCGCTGAAAAGAAGAATCAATAGAAAAAAAATCATAGGACATTATCACAACCATGGCAAATAAGAGTTTTTAATATTATCATAGAAAAATGTTATCATGCCTCATTTCATTTTCTTAGATATTTTATCATGTAATAATATTTCCGAAGTTAATTTTCGTAGGTCAAGGTCGTAATTTGTAGACGAGGACCACGTTTTTGGAATAGATATGTTTCTGGGCGTTGTGTAATTAATATAAGAAGATCTGATATAATCATAATATTGAAAACACATGTCCCAGGAACAGTTTGATAAAATTGTGTGAATAGTTTTGGGAAATTTGTTGTATAAAGACTGAAAAACCTAGAGACAAAGGCGGTCACGTGTCATCTGCCAGATTTCTGAAACGTAGGTAGGACTCATAATAACCACATATTTTAAGAGAAATGGCTTCTGAGAACGGACAGGATGGTGTTCCTGATGCTTGGGACGATAATGGAAGTGGAAATGGAAACAGTGCAAATGATATGTCAAACCAACTAAGCGATCTAAACGTAAATGCCCCAGCATTTGTCCCAGGTCAAAACGTTTTTGCCCAACCCTTTTCTATGCCTAATGAGAAGCCAACAGATGAGACCACTAAAAATGAAACTGATGTACCACCACCTCCAGATGAAACTCCTCCAGATGAAACAAATAAAACTATTCCATCTGTTAATGATGTGAAACCATGCACATCTGAAACGAAAAGTGTGGAAAATGATTGGGAGAAAGAAAATGATGAAGATGAAGAAGAAGAAGAAGAAGAGGAGGAAGAAGAGGAAAAAGTGAAAAAGGTTGCAGTTGTAAAGCCAAAGATTAAAGAAGATTCTGAAGACACAACGACTGATAGGAAAGAACATATCAATATTGTATTTATTGGTCATGTTGATGCGGGAAAGTCAACAATTGGTGGCCATATATTGTATTTGACTGGTATGGTTGATAAACGTACTTTGGAAAAGTATGAAAGAGAAGCGAAGGAAAAGAACAGAGAATCTTGGTACTTATCTTGGGCTTTGGATACCAACTCTGAAGAGAGAGAAAAGGGAAAAACTGTTGAAGTTGGTAGAGCATTCTTTGAAACAGACAAGAAACATTTTACTATTCTTGATGCACCTGGTCACAAAAGTTTTGTCCCAAATATGATAGGTGGTGCATCTCAAGCAGATTTAGCTATTTTAGTCATATCTGCTCGAAGAGGAGAATTTGAGACTGGGTTTGATAGAGGTGGCCAAACAAGAGAACATGCTATGTTGGTGAAAACTGCAGGAGTAAAACATTTAGTGGTATTGATTAATAAAATGGATGATCCAACAGTTAACTGGGCTGAAGAAAGGTTCAATGAATGTAAAGAAAAGCTACTACCATACCTAAAGAAATGTGGGTTTAATCCCAAGACAGATATTGTTTTCATGCCTTGTTCAGGATTAACAGGAGCATTCTTGAAAGATAAAGTTGATGAAGCTATATGCCCTTGGTATCAAGGACCATCTCTTCTTACATTCTTAGATGATTATGCACCTTTAGCTAGAGACAAAGATGCTCCTGTTAGAGTTCCTATTGCTGATCGATACAAAGATATGGGAACTATTGTATTGGGCAAAATTGAATCTGGAGTTGTGTCAAAAAATCTTCAGTTGTTGCTTATGCCTAACAAGCAGATGGTTAAAGTCACCCAGATCTGGTCTGATGAAGATGATGCTGATGAAGCTTGGCCAGGAGAAAATGTCAAGTTGAAACTTGGTGGAGTAGAAGAAGATGATGTTTCTCAAGGATTTGTTCTTTGTTCGCCAAATAGTCTGTGCCATACCTCCAAAAATTTTTATGCTCAGATTGTTATATTAGAGTGTAAATCAATTATCTGTGCTGGCTATAGCTGTGTTTTACACATTCACTCTTGTTCTGAAGAAGCTACTATTACAGGACTTAAATGCCTTTTAGACAAGAAAACTGGTAAAAAGGCTCAAGCTGGACCCAAATTTATCAAACAAGACCAAGTTGGAATTGCAAGTATAGAAATCAATGGTGGTAGGATTTGCTTAGAAACCTTTAAAGACTTTCCACAAATGGGACGATTTACTCTGCGAGATGAAGGCAGAACGATTGCGATTGGAAAAGTGCTAAAACTCTTAGATTAAATTATTGATTTCAACTCCGTACAACTTCATATGGCATTATGCAAACTGACCATGTGTGAATTATTCAAAGTGTCTTTCCTTTCATTCACCATCATGTACAGTAATGCGCTTTCAGGTTTATTGTTGGATTCTCATATAGGTTTTTTTTAATATGAAAACAGGGCTGCAATGATGATGAACTTACAGAATAAGAGTCATGTTTTTTGTTCAGTAATCTTATTCATTACTTGTACTTCTTTGTTAGCTTAATTAATTGTTTGAAAATCGACAGTTTCTTGGGGGGGGGGGGGGGGGGGGAATTGCTTTAAATATGAATCATTGCAGCCCTAGATCATTTTGGTTTTGATTTAAGTTATATTAGCTTTCCCGTATTGTAAATTTCTGCTTAGTGTATAACCGATCCAAAGGTGAATGTTAAGATAAATCACACATTGAATGTTTGTCCACTTAATAAAGTTTGTTTAAGGTTAATGAAGTACATGGAATATCAAGAAGTGCTAGCCCTGAATAATGTTTTCTTCATCTTTTCATTACCAATCAAAAATAATATATTTTTGCAAATCTTTTTCATGTGTGGATAAAATGTTCTGCATGTACATATGTTATTTAAAAGTACAGTTTTAATTTTTTTTTTTTATTAATTTTCATTGTGTAAATTGAATTGATTTCAACAACTTGTTTTATTGTTACAATTATATTCTATGGATTAAGGCAATGTTCTGTCAACATACACACACTTGATCTTTTTTTTCGTTTTAAACTCTATTTAATCAAATCAATGTAACTTATTATGGTACTTACGAAATTGATAAGATCCAAGTTTTGAAAGACCTATCCAAAAAAAAGTTTCATCTCAAATAAGTCTTTGACTATGGATAATAATGTGCTGATTTAATCTCATTTTGTTCTTGGGTCAGGGATATACATTTGTTATTGTAATTAAGACTAGTTAATTGAATTATATATATTTTGTGTGGTTCAATGGGACATATTTCGCTTTTCCAGGAACATGGAATACTCAAATTTGTCTGACCAAACTTCATAAGGTGAATTAAAGATAAATCTAATAATGTTGATTCTCATATCATTAATCTATTTAATTGCAATGGACATAATTATAGAAATACACCAAACTTCTTTGGAAGTAATAGTGTAAAGTTTGTTTAGAAAAATATTTTTCTACCATGTGAAGAAAATTTATCCCTTGGATTGTTGTCTATTGTTCTTTTTTTGATAATTTTGCAGCCTGTTGATAAGTCATTTGCAGAGTTTTTACTGTGAATATTTTATTTATAATCGACAGGTGACAGTCAACATTGTGTTAGTTTCTCTGTTCATGTATAAAATCAGAAATATAGATTATACTTTCAGCTCTCTGCATAACATGTGTATGGCTTTTAATATGACTTCCAAACCAATGTGAAGGCATTTTAATTGTCAGGGCTATTATTAACATATGGCAAAATGCCAATGAATAAATTGATAAATGTGCAAATTTTGACGTAGCATTCGTGTTTCTCACCATGAAGACTGACGAAATTGTTATCTTTCACCTTCTCAGTGTCATTTTCTAGCAATATTCATCCAATCAAATTCTTAATGATAATATTTCCTTATTATGTGAGGAATTCTGGGATATTCATTGACTTTTATTGTCTAAACACTTTTTACAGTATTTTTGAATAGGTTAGATGTGACAATTCATATTTGATTTCAAAATTGCACAAAATACAATATAGAAAGGATGTAATCTTGATCTCAAGAAAAAAGGTCAGATTGTGAAAAAAGATGTGATAGGCTGAAATATAATATTTATAGTGTTTGATTCCTTTTTATTATATTGTATTATATCTTATAGACCATCATGTTCCCTAAGCAATGGTATAATGATTTTCCTTTTGGCTGGATGTGGAGAATTATGTTAACATTGCTATAGGAACATGATGAACCATACAATTGAATTACTCATTTTATTCAATTTATTTCATTACATGAAACAAAGTATGAAAAATGAAATGATTTTGACTCAACAATTAAAATCTTTACATTGATACATTATTTGACTTTATTGATATGTTGTGAAATGTATTCAAATGCATATATGTTCTTTGACTTTGTTAAAATATTAAATGGAATAATTTGTTCACTTTCTTTCAAAATGAACAATAATTTAGCAAGAAAATAGTTAATAAAAATTTCAGAATTGTTATTTTCTTCACATGGGTTGACAATCTAAGATAAAGAAAATATTTAAATCTTGAATTGTTTATTGTAAATCAAGAAATTTTGAAGTTATTTTTATGTATATAATTCTGAAATGTGAGGAAAACTAAGAAATAGTAGAATTTGTTATTTTTTCATTTCCCTTAAAATATGATGGCCTTTCCTCTTGAATACTTAGCCAACTCCATCTATTTTAACAGAAAGGTAAAGCAGACCCTTCATTTTCTGGAGAAGTTTCCAGGTAGATATAAAATTATTCTTATATATCAACCCTTATTAACATTTAAGCAATAAACTATGGTTCCTGATAATTATTTCTTGGAATTCATTTTACTTGTATCCTAAAATTTGGCCAGGATAATACTGAATGAAACACTATCAAAAGTATCTGAATGAATTACCTGTTATCCCACCTATTAAATGACAATCTGTTCTTATTCACTTTATTTCCATGACAGGAAGATTTTTTATCTTATCATAATTATACAAGAAGGTAACCATTAAAGGGATTGTAAAGAAGATTTCTCAAATAAAATTTGGTGCATTTCTGTATGTGTATAGGATCAATTTGTACCATTCAAATTGTCAATTAGAAGATTGTGGTTCCACTAAAACTATGTGATGGATCATGTCATTAATTGCATTAAACACTTATCTTTGTGGAATTGCAAGGACTATGTCTGACTGAAAATATGAATGGTGCAAATTAAAGGTATCAATGTCAAAGTTTAGTTTACTTTTGATTAAATTTAAGGCTTTTTCAAGATTTAGGCCTCTTATGTCAGTTTGAGGAGTTATCGTCCTTTAACCTCTATACAGTAAGTGCTTCTATCAACATCAATTTGAGCTATTTTCGACCGTTAGAAGCAGAGTTATTGCCCTTGCCCCAAAATCTTGAATATTACCATCCGCATGCCGTGGTGGGCATATATGGCTATGGTCCACTATCTTTTTAAGTGCTTTTAAATTGAGTTCAGTTTAAAGTTTGTTAGGCTTTGGTGTTGAATTGGTGCCATTGTGGTCAGAAAGAAGAGTTATTTCCCTTGATTAACTAGCATGGCTGCAAAGGAAGAAAACATTTAGTACTCTACATAACACCATAATATTCAACATTTCAAGAAGACATTGTCCCAGGCCGGGTGGAATGACAGATAACTTTAAGACTACTTGATAGAGATAATAGTAATTTGGTGAAGGCCTACCATGGCAAGAAAGTAAGTAAATTTCACACTAAAGCATGCATTTTAATCTGGTACGTTTCTGACTTTGGTGTCTGTAATTTCCCAACAAGTTACTGACCAACTGTCTTTGGAAGTTCGATGGATATAGGCCTATCGAATTTTCCCGATTATATTAAAGAGAATTGGATTATCAGCCTCAAATACTGTTTATTCTAATAATGACTTTGCGTCGATAAAAATATCACAAGAACACAGTCATATCTCTTATAAAATTTGTTTTTAGTTTTAATTTTAGAATATTTAGTTTTTTCTTCTTTTAGTTGTACAAATACAGAACACATTTCTGCCCAAATTTTTGAGAAGTAATTTGTTGAAATGTCTGAAATGGAGGTGTATTTTTAATCAATGCAAACAATTAAATTTCCATTGATGCAAAATCATTTTAGGTCATTCCTTTCAGCACCGCTTTGAAGCTGATTCAAATTAACTGACAAAATAGTGGCCATGTTTTAGTTACTGGCAAATTTGCAAATACATCAAGCCTATGACATGGGCTAGGTAGGCCTACAGATCAGAATTATAGGCCTACCACTACAACTACTGTCTTCACACTCTATTTAAATAAAGTATTTTACCATTATTGTGAAAAGTGAAATGGAAATATGTAGGCCTAAGGTTTGATAATTGTTACATTGAAATTAGAATAGAAAGTAAAAATGTTGTCAAATGATGTGCATATTCTTCGATTGGCATTTTGTAATCGGCATGAATAAGAAATAAAATACTGTACTACTTTTTTGGAATACAATTACTATATTTATTACAGGCGACATTTCAGCTAACTAGGGTCCTCATGTCTTCATCAGGCAATGTTTCATTAGGTTAACAGCAACATCTCCATATTGACGACAAACATCAGCTTATTCTTGGAATGGCATTTATTAATTGGCATGAATGAAGACTAGAGATCCTTAGTTGAAACGTCGCCTGTAATAAATATAGTAATTGTATTAAATATTTCTTAAATGGTGTGCAGTGGAAAATATTATTTGAACTGGTTCTTTCTTTACTAATTACTCTAAGCTAATTGTGACTTTTCATTTTCAAAGGTACATTTTGGTGTTACTAAGAAGTATGACAGGAAGTAATCATACATTAGTTAGATGCAGACCGAAGGCAAATAAACCTCTTGAGCGTATTTGGTTTGATCCTTTTGGTAAGTACTTAGTTTTGAATATGTATGAATAGTTTTTAGGTGACAGAGTTCAAAAGCAGATTTTTGACAATTCAAGGTGCAGGTGAATTTTACTGTCTATTATCTTTATGTCTTTTCTATATATGGCATTGTCTCAACATTCAAACTCAGATAATTCTTGACACATTCAACTTTGATTACTATTACTGTATGGCTTAGCTTAAAAATTCTGTTTCTGAGACTAAGGTACAATTGGTCAAAACAATGGCAAACATATCCCTTTAATTATAGGATTTTTACAATATAAGGTATTTGGCTTAGATTTTAAGCTTGGATAAAAGTAGTGAGGCTGTCATGGAAACAGCACCTGTTTGTTCAAATGGGATGCTATTTAAAAAAAAATAGGCAAATGCATATCTCAAACATCTAACACAAGTGTTATTCATTTACATTAGCCCAGTTAAAATAGCAGAAAAGTAGCAAAAATATTTCATTTATTCTACCGTTTCATCCATTTTATTTTTAGTATAAAATATATAATTTCAGTACGTCAGATGGCAATGTATAGAGAAGAGAAGACGATACGGAGGAAGATGAAATGATGATTTAGTCTTATCACAGATATTGGTTAACATCTTGAACACTTTACATGTACTTAGTAACTTTTGTTTACATGTACGAGAAAAAAGTGTTTCTATATACAACTGTATATTATCATAAATCATGGTGTGAGATGTTGTATATTATAACATTACAATTATTGATATATATGCCATGGTGTACTTTCATAATGATAACTAAATTTATGTAGTAAATGATTTTTATTAGTATATTAAAAGGGATACAAAAATCCATTAAGTCCTGTGCAAGAGAGACTCAAGTCTGACTTTGCAAGTTCTGATAATCTTTTGAACCATTTGGCTGATGCAGAATCAGAAACAAGACAGACTTTTATTTTCTCCAAGGGTTTCAACCACTTTCTCTCCAACCCACCAATATGTATACTGTATATGTGTAATGCACATGGATTCAAAATTGACCAGTTTAATTGAGCACTACGTATAAAAGCTTTGTTTATGAAATCTAGCAGAGTTATCCAAGGACAAGGAATTTCTAAGCCTTGTATCCCTTTACTCAAAATATAAGAAATAAGCAAGCAAATGCAAGTTATATAAGCAATAATCTACATGCACATAAAAAATATAAGAGTAGCCATATATCAAAACTAAATATTGTAAAAAGAAAAGTAATAAATAAGTGATCAACATCTGACAAAAGCATAGAGCAAAGGTCACTATCTTTAGTGAAAATATTCAATTTAACTGAAAATTTTTTTCGAACTTGCCTACCCTAGGTAGATTAAAGGGCATTATGATATTCATACAACATATATATATATACTAGCCTATATCTCAACAACAAATATATCATGTTTATTATGACCTCAATGTAAATTGACCATTGAAAATGAGATGAATTTTGGCTTCTGTAAAAGAAAATACTTTTCTGAAATCTTAGACAATGCAGAGATGAAGGCAATCCTTCTTCAGTAAAAAAAAAACAATACTTAAAATTCATTTATTAGATCACAGAAAGCTCAAAACAAGCTTTTCATTGTATAATTACAAAATTGTTATGATATAGTGTGCCAAAAGTTATTGCTTAAATCTGTAATCAGAAATAACAGCCAATATTAGGCTCCTGTAACTCTGAAGAATTAGAGTATTTTGCAGATGAACAACTGAATCTATTTGAATAATGAAACATGATATAAAATGATTTGTAACAATTGAGGTAAAATTAGTATAAAATGAAGCACCAGTAACAAATATTATGCATTTTAAATAATAGCTTGAATACAAACAGAGGTCTTGGATTTCAAAGGCTTAAATTTACAGTACATATACATTAATATAATGATAAGGTCAGGGAAGACAACTTTTACCCAGTTTTGACTAGTTCTATCTTGTTATAAGTAAACAAATTTTTGAATAAAAAACAGATTTTGAAGAGAGAATGTTCAATAAGTTATGCATGTTTACCAAGTAAAAATATCCGTTATAAAAAGATTGAAAACAACTGGGATAAAAAACACATTGATAACATGTAAATATAGAAGTATATCATCTGTAACAATCAACAATATGAAAAGGCACAACTCAAATTTATAACATTTAAGACAATTCATTTAAAAAGGAACCAAGTACAGTTTTTTCCCCATGCACCAATTTGGAAAGTAAAAGAATTTGGATAGTGGCTAATCCCTGCTTCCTTCTCAACTATGACAGATAAAGCATAAATTCAGTAGCTGAGCAGAATAAAATTCTAGAGCATCTACTATTAACACATGGATTTTCCTACTACCATGTTCTGAGCACATGTCAGAGGTAGTTTTAGTCCTCTTTCTAATAAATTGACTAATTCCATACATCCACTACAGCAAGCACCAAATGGACTGATCAACACAAATAATATTGCACAGAAAAAGCCAATTGGAAATCCAAAGACAAACAATATTATAAACCATATGATACACCATAGGAAGGTACAGTTGGCCATTTTTAAACTGTGCTAGAAACTATCTGAAAATATATAAAAAATAAATAAATAAACAATTATTAGACTACCATTAAAATCGAAATGGCACACATGTTAATGACAAATTTTACTGAAATTTACATACCACTAAAACTATAATAGCCTACAGACTACAATCTTTTCAATGTCAAGCTATTACATACTTCTCTCTTATACCTCATATAAGACGAAGATAGTAATAGCTTGAAATTGTGAAGTTTACAGACTACTAAAACATAAAATATGTCAATAGTTTGCATCATTCAGGTTTTAAGATGAACCCTATTTTCTCGTAGTGAGGTTCACTAAGACAACAATTGTATTGTCAATTAACATGCTTCAATGAACTAATACATCTAATAGGTTCAAGATAGTGTCAATTTTTAAGGCCAATAATTCTAATAAGGAAGGTAAGACCTAAATGACAGACAAGAGCTTTGACTTGAAACAAAGTTATTTGTCATGTATGAAGGTCAAAAACACATAACATTATTATAGGTCTTAAATAATATAATTGATTAATTCTGAAATGACTCAGTAGGCCAAACAATGCATGCAATAATAATATATTAAATTCATACAATTATTTTATTGTATATGAAATGAAAGTTATTGACCTTTAAAAATATCAATATAAGCCAGTTAGTAGTGCTACAGGGTCCTGTATACAGTCACACCAGTACCAACCAGGCAGCTGTTGGGATAGTTACCAGATCAATAAATTATCAAGTATGAAGCTGACTTGGCACCTTGCATAATATGACTACCAGAATCTAATTCAGATAAAACTGAGATTTTTAACTAACACCTAATAAATTGATTGGACATGGTGCCCTTAATTTGTGCCAGGCATGATTCACTGCATAAACCTAGGTGTTGACACAATAAATCTATAGAAACTATGACAACCATGTCCATATGGTGCAAAATACTTCAATTTGACCTTTTTACACCAAGCTTGAAGGGTCACTGATCCTACATTGATTGATACATAATATAATAAAAACAAAATAATCTATTTATGTTTGATCTCAAATAAATTATGTCTCTATATTTTAAAGGTTGTTAAAGGAATACTATCTCTTAAAATGGACATAAAATTTAAATTCTTTTTAAGTTCTATGAAAAACTGGACATTGGAGGTTTATTAGAACTAGATAGCTGAACTCTATCAGATGTCAACAATTATTTAGATGACTGAATCTCTATCCGCAAACTATATAACAACACTACCTAAGGATTCGGAAATCCTTTTGATAATAATATTGTTGGAAGCATGTTTTTAACATGTTAGATTTACAGTGTCAAATACCAATATAATATCAAAGGCAAATGGTTTTTATGACGCTCAAATATAAAGACGACATTTATATAATACATTTTACAGTCCCATTATTACTTGTATCCTATTTCACAGAATGTATCCATCCATTCTCCTGGGCCTGGGCTATAATATGATTGAATCAGTATGTTTCAGTTTCAACAATGCCATCAATGCATTTATTATGAGCTTCAACGAGTGTGCATTGGGAATTGGGATGAGTCACAACACAAAAAGTAAGAAATATCAAGAAAGTAAATTCAAATAATATACTCAACTGTGTATGCCGGCAACTACTCTCTGTGTCAATATGAAAAGGAATAACGGGACACTTGACAATGTACCAGCTGAAACTCTGTAGATCACGTGATTTTCACAGCGTCCCCTATAAGACTAGCAATCGCACGCGCAGTTTAAAATATTTTAGCGGGAAATTTTGTGACAACCTTTCAAAGCATAATGATGATTCTTTTTAATCTACCTAATATACATTCATTTAGGGTAGATTGTAGATTAAAAGAATTGATATACTTCTAGATCTGCTAAGCGTTGTGCGCCGTAGGATTTCGGACATTTTTTTTCTCCGTAACCAAGTTGAGTTCTTAGTTCATTCTCAAGGCATATGACGGTATCCGCAACGATGCCCGGCGGTTTTGCCCAATTGTTTAGCCACCACTTTAAAGATGTACCTCACATTTCTTTCATGATTTCCAAAGTTTCGCTTTCTTAAAAATGTCTGATAAATGCCTGGTATTACCACCAGTCAGTTTTTTTTATATCTATTCAGTTTTATGTTTTGAAGTACCCTCCTAGACTGGGCGCGCAGTGTCAGATCAGAGGTAAAACAATGCACTATACTATTAATAGAGCTCCAAACCGTTACTTAACACGAAGAATCAGATACCTATACACACAAGATACAAATGTAAACCGTGACAAAAAGGTTCAAAAACTGATTAATTGATCGTGGAATATATGCACGTGCAGCTGACCGACTCCAAAAAGTAGTGTATTATTTTCACGAAGAAGGGATTTCCAGAAAAACACAGTGCCTACTATCATCATATTATAATAAGCCATATTTATCTTACCCAACAATTTAGAGGTTTTCTATTTTACATATTCATTTTAAAATAGTCCCGTATTGCATATTCTGGATTCATGCATGTTGATTGTTGTTTTTATAAATGTCTTCTTTATAATAATAATGATATACTATAGCGATTAACAACATATATTTTTAGGTTCTGTTTTAATAATTCTATATTGCTCTACAATTGATGTATTTACTTTACAAGCCTATTATCTACAGCATAACAGTAAAATTTAATATAAAAATATGAAAAGTGAGTTAAGATTTTGACCCCAAATCATAATTTTGATACATTCATTATTGTCTGAGCAAAGTAAAATTTTTTTTGAATTTTTCCCATTATTTTCATGAGAATTGGAATAGCAGCCTCAAAATAGTACTGGTAGTTGTAGAATGTCTTTGAGTTGATAAAAATATAAACACAAGCACACAATATGTCTTCAAAATTTGTTTTTACAATTTTCAGCCAAAATTTGGGACTTTTTTGGGTTGAAATTTCAATGAGGGAAAAGTGTTTCTTTTCAAAGTAAACTTACAAAAGGTTAATTTTTTTCAACGCAAAGACATTCTAAGACTATCAGTACTATTTTGAGGCCAATGTTCTAATTCTCTTGAAAATTATCGAAAAAATTCAAACAACTTTTTGATTTGCTCAGACAATAGCTTGTAATTGATTCAGAACCTACAGGTTAAAACCTACTTTGATGCAACTTGAATAGATAGGCTAATCATAAAATTACGATTGAACTTTGAGTTATTTGCAACAACTAGAAACAGTAATTTTGATGTCTAAAAACTGATTAAATTATATTATATTTTTTGAGAAATATTTCCAGGATAATATCCCCTCCCAACACCCCAAAAAATATTTTAAAAAAATGGATTAAGATAATTGAGTAATATATACATTGATATAATTAGAGATATAATGAGAAACAGGAGTAAAGAGTAAAAACTAAATTGAACTAAAATGTGCACAGATGAAATGAATATTTACATTATATGAATAGAGTAGCTTAAAGAGCACTATTACAGAAAGTAGTTTTAAAAGTATAACATACAATAATAACAAACAATATAACAAATTTTAAATTAAGCCAAAGATAATCCTCTTTTACGCATTTGTGACTCAAACTTTTTATCGGCTCTGTTCACTTCAACTTTACGGCGTCTGTCTTTACTGAAAAAGAAAAAAGTGATGAAATTAATGTAAAAATAGTGTCTTTTTAAGCATCTGAATTCATATTTTGGGTAAATTTATCAAAGAAATCCTTGGAATAATTCACTTTATTGGAATAGTTGATCCTAAAAATTCAAGAGATTGATGCAGTATATGTTGCTTTTTTTTTCAAATATAAATTATGACAGTTTAGAAAAAACAATGTAAAAAACTTTTGAAGCAAGTACATTGTATTCTGTAAATGTTAACATAAGATCAATGAATACATTGATGTTAAAACTTCTAAAGAGGATCCTGAACTAATAGTTTTATTACCAAATTGAACAAAAGATCATATGATTGCTGAGGATTCTTGGAATTCTTGCTCCTACAAAAGTTTTAAAGCTTACATTGTCTGTGTTTGTGGTGTTTTATATGATGTCTTGTCTAATGTTTTATATGCTGTGTTGAGATCTAAGGGTTTTAGTTTTCCTTTATGAGCTTTCCATGTCATAGGTCTAGATAAACTAGCTTTCAAATCAAAGGATGGTTTCTTCATTGAGCTATTCAAAACTGATGTATTCAATCCTTTAAATTTCAAAGGGGTTCCTATAAAATAAGAAAGAATAGTATATATATATATATATATATATATATATATATATATATAATTAATACAAAAATTATCAGCTAACATTAAGAAAATACAGTTCATTTCTGCCCTTCTATAATAAATTTTTGCACAGAATCCTGTGAGCATCATTACATTACATTTTTATTTTTGAAGCCACCTATTGCATAGTAAGCTCATAGGCCTGGTATTTTTCAAAAGACTATTATACCAGTTATAACTGAGATCTTAAAGCTGAAATGATAATGTACCTCCAGTTATAAATCCATCACCAATAGATAATTTGTTAGATTTGTGAGTGATATTGGTTAGTGAATTAAAATGTGGTGATGATTTAACAGTTGATGATGGTTTTATGTTTATTCGTGGCTTAACTAGGGTTTCTGCTGGTGTTCTTGGTTTTGCTGTTGAATGTCGTGATGCTGGTGATTTAGGTTTAGCTGTCGACTGTTGTGATGCTGGTGATTTAGGTTTAGATGTCGATTGTTGTGATGCTGGTGATTTAGGTTTAGTTGTCGACTGTCTTGATACGGATCTCTTACTGATGTTAGATTTAGGCGTCTTAGATGATTTAGTACTTTTTACTCCACTTGATGTATTTGAGACAGTTCTAACAACTGGTGTAACAGGTGTTGGTTTACTGGTTGAACGTGGCGTTTTATTGTTGGACTGTACAACTGGAGTCTTGTTAGCACCAAATTTCAGATTCAAATTCTTAGTAGAAATGGTTGATGGTTTGAAGCCTTTTGGTGATTGAAAAGATGAACGAATTGAATCTTTTCTTACTGGTTTCACAATCTGAATAAACAAGTAACAACAAATATGAGTTGGCAGTTGCAATAATTCTAAAATTCAAGAGAAATTGATTAAGTTCCTTCAGTTTTCAATAAAAATGTGTAAGCTAATATAGATTATAGGCTTGCAATATTAATCAAGATCAAGAATGAACTTTAGCAGTTAAATAATGAAATGAGTTACTTATGACATTGGAATGCTCTAAGATAACCTATATGGTTTCCAACAATTCGCAGTGCTTTTAAAAAATCGGTGCTTGATTTTTCTTTTTCATAAAACTTGATTTAATGTTTTACCAACTGCATGCTGAAGTTGGTCTTTTCTTGTCATACATTTAAACATTCTATAACTGAACTTTTTGGTGTATTAAAAAATATATTACCTGAGGTGTTTTTGTATTTTTCAATCTATCAACAGCTGTCTGTGTCTCTTTCAGTAACTTATGAACTGAATTGAATGATCCAGTTAAACCTTCAGCCCTTTTCTTTCGTTTCTCCATATACGTCTCCAAATTGTCCCATCTAGAAAACTCTTTCTTGTGTATCTTTTTCCAGTCTAAAAAATGTTTTCATAGCTTATGCCGAATTCATCCATTTGATACAATGGAATAAAACACAAAAATGGAATACAGTAAATGACTAAAATAGTGACTCTTAACTAGATGGGAAACACGATATGAACATATCTATGCCCTACGATATATACAAATCCATTTTGGTGCCAGTAGTTCAATTCTTCAACCAAATTTACATTCAAATCAGATTCCATCAAAATATTATTATCCAGTACATTTAATAAGGTTCACATACCTGGAGTGTTGGCTTTCTTCTTATCAGCTTTTTCACCATTTTGTCCCACAAATGCTGTGAATCTTGGAATATTAGAGACTTGTGAACTTGTACCAGGATCTATAAGGAAGAAATGGTTTATAAATTATTCTTTCTTGTATGAAACCAATTTATTATAATTGTCATCTTAAAAAAACAGATAATAGTTATATTGATCTAGGGTCAATAATGGATAATCAACAATGAATGATTTCAAGAATAATTCATGTCTTTAATTATATACCTATATGTCGTGTTGATTGAAAATTTTCTGCTCTAACTATATTTTGTTTTGATTATGTCAAAGATATACATGTACAAGGAATGATAAATTAGTCTGATGGCCATATTAAGGCATCCCTATGATGCCATTTAAGCTAGATTATCAGATTTTTTGAATCACCAATATGTCAAAACTACAGCTCTAGCTTTAATGCATGTGTTTCTATAACAATGATATTCACTTACTTTCGGCAACCTTTTTATCTAAAGCCTCTAATAAGGTAGCTTTCATCTGTTCACTTGACAGTCCATCCATAGCCTGTAACATACTTTTTACACCAGGACTTGAAGACTTTCTCTTGCCTTGTTTAGGTGTGTTATTTTTAGGAGTATTATTTAATGGTGAGGATTTAGTCAATGATGTTCTAGTTGGTGTATTAACTTTCGGTGGAGAACTATTTTTTCTCACACGTTTTGCGCTGGGTTCAACATTAACTGGTTGCTGAAATAATTGTAGAATTTTTCTTCATTAAAAAATTAACTCATAGTTGGATTGTCATCTGAAACTTGATGAGATGCAGCAGCTGGGCTAAGTCTTCAAGGAGGTAAAATTGATGCTAAGATGAAAGTCATTGTTGGAAACAAGCAAAACTTCAAAGCTAATACCACCCAAATAAATTGGCACAAACCTCTACGTTTTCTTTCTTTTCTTCCTTAGAATTACTTCTTTTTCTTTTAGGTGCCAGTTGTTTCTTTAATGCTTTATTATTTAGAGCTGGTGATTGAATAGGTTGTTTTTTAGCCCAAACTGGAGATTTAAATGTAGTCGGCGTTGATTTCAAAGACTTGACTCCCAATATTGTTGTTGACCTTCTTACAGCAGGGGATTTGATACTGGCAAAGGGAGATTTAATAATTGAAGCTATGACAGGTTTTTTTGGCACTGGTGATTTCAACTCGACTTCCCCCTTTTTGGATTTTTTACTTTTTCTAGTTTTTCTGTTTCTTGTCTGTCTAACAGCTTGTTCTTCTTCATTAGTCTAAAAGGTAAATTATCAAGGTATTAAATTCTAAACACAGTGAAAAAAAAAAAAATCTTTTAAACTACATGGAATAAGAATAATTTATAACATCAACAATTTACATATTATATTTGTTTTAATATCTCCCAAACACATACATGTATTATGGTACTGATGACAACAAAATATCATTGATATTGATATTGATCAAAAGGACATACCGGTACCTACATTTTTTCCATTTTTTTTTCTTTTGAAAGTTTTGCTAATTAGAATAAAAAATTACCTTTGTTTCATTAGATGTATCTTCATCATTTGATGTGTCAATATCTTTCTTCTTCCTTCCATCTTTTCGACCACGAGATTTTTTAATTTTTGGAGAATTTTGCTTCTTGGATTCCTAAAATCAATAAATAGCTAAGAATCTAGTGATCATGTACTGCTCTGCAGCTAGAGTAAGCTTAATGCAATCAATGAGACTTCTTTACTGCAAATCATAGAAATATATGCATCCATCAGTATCATGCACCTATAATAAAACTTTGTTTGAAAATTTACTAAATGCCAGTCTAGAGATCTAGACGTTTAATTTCAGCCCAGTCACATTCAACTACTTCGAGTAATAATAATAAGAGTCGAGACATACCTGTTCAGTTGATGAACTTGATGAACCATGGTCTGTAGCAGTGTTACTGGCATCACTTTCATAATGATCTTTTAAAGCTTTTCTTAACTTTTCAACCTGAAAAATAAATCATGAAAGGTAAACCACTTATTAAAAGGCTAAGAATAAGACTATCACTTTCGTCATTGATTATAATACAGGCCGGTAATACTTTATAGGCTATAAAAGTCAGTGTCTTGGTTTCTGCGAGTCCACTCTGACAAGAAGTGCACCATGTTATTTCTTTTTAAATTTGCATGCGAGTGTGAAAATTCATATTTTTAAATGCCATAATCTCCATTCACATGTAAATTTAAAAGAAATGACATGGTGTACATACATTAAACTTGATACGGTGGGGTGGCTAACATTTGCTATATCAACGTATTTATAAGCTTACAATAGATATAAGCTCATAGTCAAAAAATTTCATATCGAAAAATGAAAAAGATTATTATTATTTGTTTCATCATACATAATAAGAACATTCCAACTTTTGATTGCAGCCAGTGTCATGAAATCCTGTGCTCCAATTCGCAAGTATCAAGACTCAAAATGACCTTGCAGATATATCTAAAAAAAAAAGCAACTTTGTCTGAGAACATAAGTTACCATACCCTAATGATAGGGCCCCACACCATACACCTTTTTTATTTTGACCATATCAATCCAATGGCAATGACAGGCCAATTTTAAATCAATTTAGATATAGGCCTAAAATGCTATATCATATGTACTTAGTCTAATTAATTATTAATTTAAATATCATCACTCGTGTAAAAATTGTCCTTCGCCTAGTTTAGTTCACCTTCATATTAGCCCGAATCCCTTTCGCCTTCGCCAGCTTTTGTAGCTCGTGGTATTTCAAATTTTCCAATTCATTGATCCCCATCATCACAAATATTTATACGGTAAAATGGTGAATAAATTTAATAATAACAGTAAAATGTTCGTGTTTTTCTTGCGGCGCCTTTGTTGTCGGAAGTGGTAACTTTAGTTCAAAATATGCGCAGAATGATTTGATTGGTTGATGTTTGGTAAATGAGAGTTATGTACCTTGTCATGGCAGACACGAGTGTTGGGAGTAGATATAAACAATTTGTCTTTTTTTAATACTTCATTGAACTAGAACATTATTATCATATTAGTAGTTTGATTTTGAACGTTTTTTACAAGACAGAAGTCTGTTAAGAAATTGATGTAATCGTTGTTCGTGTGCTGATTGAATATGTATAGGGCGTTACACGTCGTCCACGTCTAATCTACACAGAAATAGTATTATGATAGGTCAAGGTCGTTACTATTTATAAAACAGGTATAGCTTCAGGTATTGACTGTAGTACAGCCTTACTGATGGCTTAGACTTGGTGGTTGTAAACATTTGGCAATCTTAAGATTGTCTTTTCACATCTATTCAATTTTTTTCGAACTAATCATGGCATCCAAGTCACTTGCTAATGGAGATCTTAATCGTGAGATTGATGCAAAAGACCTCAAAACCAGAAAAGAGGTGACCAATTTAATGGGAATGTATTTGTTAGTTGCTGGAGCAGTTACCATTTCTTGGGTTCTTGGATATTTAGAATTTTCCTTCTTGTGGGTGTTTATGCTGTCAGCTAGTCTTTTCGTTGTGTGGAAAACTAAAATTGGAAATATTATCAGACGTCATTTGGATTTTGAAGAAGATAATTTACATAGAAAGCGAGCCTTGAGACAGAGTGAAAGTGTTGAATGGTTTAACTTTTTATTGAATAGATGGTAAGTGTTATGAAGACTTTGATCTTTTCAACAAAATGTTATGCATGTTTTTGTTTAATTTTGCCGGTTTTTATTCTTGCAGTTTAGATGAAATAGATATATATTTTCCATCATTAAAAACACATTTTTATTGCTCTGGTGCATGCTTTAAAGTTAAAACATTGTTCAATCTGTGTATATTTAATATTATGCAGCCTAACATAAATTATCCCAGCTGTTGAAAATTTAAACTGGTTTGTGAAAAGCTGAATAGTAAAGTATAGCCAGTGTAACTACTGATCCATACAATTTACATTACCGGTACTCTATATATATCTAGATCAATATGACTTTCTGCTTCATTGCATAGAGAATAACCGGTATAATGTACATTCAGTCTATAGGTTAAAACTTGCTTAATCTGTATATAAGAATATTTAACGCCTTAATGGCCTAAATCCTTATCTTTATAGGCTTAGTTTAATGCATTTATGGTTAAAAATATTAGATTTGTAATGCACCGAAGATCAGTGATTACAACACACTTGTTGAGACTTGAGCTTTGAAACAACACTTATTAATCAATCATGAATCAAGGCTCAGTTTCAGAACTACAGAAAGAACATTATTGATAAAAAAAATACAAATTAACTAGATTGTCATAATCAATGATCCTGATATTTTGAATTTTAGGTCCCATGAGGTCTTACCTTGGGTTAAAACTTGAAATATCATTTTTATACCATACCTTCAAAAGTCAAAGTATTGCATTGAAATGAATAATGTTCACAGACAATACACTGTTAAGGGAATGTTCATACTTATAGATATCACCAGAACAGTCAATAGATAAATCAATAGCCCTAAAAATTGAAATGCCAGTGCATGTGCTTTTGTAACCTTGTATGTCTTCAGTATAACCTCAGATTGCTAACAAAGAGTAGCTTGAGAGTGATAAAATGTAGGGAGATAATTATGGATATATCAGGAGTGATTTATGACTAGTGTCTAAATAAAAATTTATGAAAATATTCTTACAATAAATTTTTTTGTAGGTGGGTTTTTAGTACCTATTCTATAGAAGACTTAGTTAAAAAGAGATTAGATGAGAGGCTAATTGGTATAACTCCGTCCTTTATAGGTTTGTATTATTTTCTCTAACTTCATTTGTCACCCGTATTACCAGATTTAATATCATATTTCGATGAAAATTTTGAGGGTTATGTTTTCTTAAAAAGGCATTAGGTTGTAAAGTACCAGGACTATCCAAACTGCAAATTTGAATGACTTACGACGTATGACTCACATAATTATTCACTTTCAACTTTGTTGAAACAGCACCCCTTAATGGTAAATAGATGGGACTGTGACACTAAATCCAAACAACTTTTTAAGAAGCAGCGAATTGACTCTTCAAATGCTTCTTGCTCAAGTGTGTTGATTGCTAAGTTTGGAAATCATATGAAATCATTAATATGGTTATTATCTCAGGGTTAACCAAGTGAAACAAGAGTAAAGAAATATGTAGTAGTTTCAGAATGTTAAAGAGAGGGCAATTTGCTTCATAAATTTGAGGAAAATTATTCATTGATTCTAAAAAGATTCTATTCAAATTAAAGTAATACAAAAGGAAGAATAAAAATCTTGACAAACAAGACAATTCTGTTAATCTAAATCTCATCTAAAGTATGGTAAAATCAAGATCAAAAATTGTATATTAGTGGACTCCTCAAAGAGAAGTACCATCAGGTGTCTCGTAAACCCTAAACACCATGTGTGTTTTGTGCGAGACACCCACCATTAATATTTAGGTCAACATCATGAGATACAACCAGATCAATTCATGCCTGACCAAACAAATCGCCCAAAATGTGCAAAAAAAAGATTTGTTTTTATTTATCCAAAAGTTCATTATAATGACCATAAAATTTCCCAAATGAAGTGTGAAGTCTTCATTTCAAGTAACCTTGCTTAAAGCAATTTCAAAGTCAAACTTAACCTCTGGCCAGAAAGTCTTCATAAATTGAACAAGCCCTGGCATAGTGAATGAGTTGTGAAACATATACGCCATAAGCTGGTGACTGAGGTACGTTACTGCACATGAATGGAAAAGTTACCCCCTACTATGGTATAAATAATGCTGATAATGTTGAATAGATACTGATAACTGTAGATGTTAATATATTGGTATTCATCTATTGTCACATTGAATGTTCTGCTTCAACTATTCAAAATACGCTCAGGTATGATTTGATAATAGGTCATACTTGATAAACATAATTCTACCTCTTCAAAATATATAAATCACTTAATATCTCCTCTATATACACTTAACTTTTCCTGTTGAAGATATTGGCCTTAAAATCTATTATTTTAAGTACAAGGTATATATGTTACTTGTATTGTGGAGGCACACTTCAGCTTGATTATTATTTGCCTTAACTGCAGATGGAGCTAAAATTTCAGTTCATGTTTATGAAACATTTTCTGTCTGCAATCAATCAACATACAATATCTCATGCCATGTAGAATAAAATTGCACTTGAAACCTGTGATCATGTTAGACCAAATTTATGCCATTGCTGCGCTTTAATCAAAGAGGACCAAATGCAGTATTTTAGTCTTAAGTCTGTATTGCATCAACTGCTATGAGCCTACAAGTAGGCGATACTATTATTTGAATAATATTTAGAAAAGTTTAAAATTCAACCATAATTTGGATGGGCGGTAGATCTTTAATATAATAGTCAACAAAATCTTGGCTTGTAAAAATGTTTCCTGAATGTAACATTTTATTAGTAACAAAGTATTTTAAAAGGTTGAAACACATAAAGTCAGTGGAAACTATGTTAAAATATGATTAATATTATGAAACATGTCTGATTTGCCTTCACTAGATCAGATTTGAGATTAGTTTATTCAAAGGTCAAGATATCAATTTTATTTTCTGTCTAGGAAAGTACAGGTTTTATCATCTTCAAAACAAAGTTTATCTTGACTTCTTTATGGACTTTTCTCATACCACGCAAGTTTGTGAATGCATCGATTTGATTGCATTGTGCACAAAGGAATACAGCCAATCAGAGTCCTCTACAGAGAGATTGTCAACAAATGAACCATATTGGTTACTGTCTTTGTTTGTCTAAGGTTCTGATTGATTGTTTCCACTAGATTACAATCAAATAAAATTGCTGCATTTTCGAACATGCTTGATACATGTTTAAGTCAAGACATTAGATGGACTTTGTTATAACTTGACTTTATGAAGATAAGGTTTAATAGGGCTATTCAAGAATTATATTGTATTAAAAAAAAATTTAAAGGGTTTTTTAAGGCTTTGTTGATGATAAATTGATGTTTTCAAAGTAAATAAGAGATAAAATATTTCCTACTGGTACTGTAGTTGAATTATTATCAAATTTAATATAACCATAATTAATTTACTTACATATGGCATTAGAAAGTGGAAGGTTTTTTTTCATATTTTGGGTCATATTATTGCAGACCATCCTGCTTACTATAGAATTAATATCATTGTTTCCAATGGAGTTACAATGTTTAAATGTAAATCTAGAAATTTATGCAAGGTCAACTGGATTAAATGGTCTTGTTTATTCCAGGATATGATGTTGACATTTGACTTTGACATATATAAACTTGTTACTTCTGTTGATTGTTATTAATGAGAGATTGTTGGTGAATGTGAAATGATTTTTACAATCATCTTGTTATTCATTTTATCAGTTCACAGAGATTTCAAAGCACTCTTTAAGATGAATAATAATAAAATCCAGTATGTAGAAGTTGTGTATTGATGAAATATGAGATATCCTATAAAAATAACCATGTCCTAAATTCAGACTTCCCACTTCCATGATTTCTTATTACAAAGTATTGTATATCAATATTTTCATATAAAATCATGAACCTGTTCATTTCATATAATCTTACACAAAAAGTGACAAAATTCATTATTTTTGATCTCATCCTTTTCAATGAATATTTACATTTTTCGAAAATTACTGACAAACCAGATGTCACTTTTTAATTCTGAAAAGTCATATGAGTAGTTGTTACAGTTCTATCAACTGAAAAGAGCAAATACCGGTATTTAGAGGATTTATTCCCTTTGAATGAGTTTTTAATAAAGAAGTGTAAGAGTATCTTCACAATGGTCAAGGTATTCTGCCTTCATCTTAAAAGATGAAGATGTATTGCCTTGATCATTGATCTTGCTTATCTAATTTATCTCATATATATAGATCATACCAATGATACAGAATATGGTATTTGTTTAAAATCAGTGGTAGAGTGGTAGTGGTAGAGTAAAATGTTGCTAGTAAAGCATGTGGTAATGATGAATTACTTGACCTATAAACATACTAGTAAATATAGTAGGCGGTGTCCTATAAATATTCTACACCAATAAATAATAAACATACTTCAACCTAGATAGTAAAACTATAACAATAATTTTTCAGTAGTTTGGACTTTTAATTACTGAATTATCCAAAAATGAAATGAAACAGTATATCTAGAATTAGGTTTATGGTTGGTTGTTTTGTAGATAACTAGCCAGACAAATCTAGCTCCACCTGTTTCTCGAATACATAAACTCAATGGCATATCAGCACGTTTAGGGCAAGACATACGATGTCATATGTATGAGAGTTGATCACATTTTTTGATAGCTAGTTTTTGTAAATTTTCACCATGACAAACGTCAAATTTGACATTAATTTTGGTGTCTATACAAAGCTGAACCATGAATATTCTACAATATCCCTGTGCCCCAAACAGTCCCAAAATACAGTGTAGGGGTAGGCTTTGATTACAGAGTTTTGATGTTAGCTTATATCACACTCAGTAATGGGTACAGCCAGATTTGTTGGACTAGTAGATGACAAGTTAGCATCAGATTTAAATTGACATTCTGATGTTATTACATTATTACAATAGATTACAGTGTCATTTGTCATATAAACATTATCATTAGTATGATCGGTATAGTGACAGTTGAACCCCATTATAATTAATATTTAAATTAATGGTAATAATTGACAACATATTCTGATATTTTATACTGAACAGATATGATGAAAAATAGTGACTAAATATCTGGGTATTGAGTTTTACAAGAGTAATGATTCAGTCATAAGTCATATATTGTTGGCCTATTCTGTATTTTTGAATTGTATTGTAACAGATGGATATCTTCCTCAACATGGTTAATTGATAGTCATTAAGGGTAATAAAAAAAGACTAACTACAATCATTTTGACATTTTCATAAAAGCTTTAGTGTTTAAACAGTTACCAATAGCAATATGGATCAATTTTAGCAATAAACATATTTGTGATTTGACCTTAGTGAAAATTATTTTGCAAAAATAACAGCAAAGATCTGTCCTCTAACTTGAGGTGTGATAATTTCAAAACAGATAACTGTTTGCTGATTTACACTTTTGATTTATTTTTTGAGTAATTTCATTGACCACTTATATAGTTGAAAAATGTATTTATAGTTATGGACAGTTCGAATATTGATCTGATGTGATTATAAAATTATAAATATATATCGCTCTTCTTGATCTGACTAGACTGATCTATCTTTTGATCTGATCTTGAACTAGGTAATGTATTTAATAGGGTTTGGCAATATTACGAAATATTGCTGTCCATAATTAATTCATAATTAGCTGAATTAGAAAAGAATAACCAGCAGAATTCCAATGAGTGATGGCTGAAGAAAGGTCAAAAAGTATTTTTTTTTGTTTATCCAGGCTGTACATACATGGACTCATATGATTGGTTAAAACTATTAATTATATGCAATGAGAACATAATGATATGATTAAGAATACATGATAATTCATTAGAAACACCTATTAATGGAATAGTTTGCTTAATTTAACACTAAATAAAAAGAAATCCATCTTTGATATCATGATATTCACTTGAATTTATATCCCTCAGGCTAGATTTGTCAGATTTTTTTGTGGAAATCTCTTTAGTTTTACAATACATACAAAGTATTACTTAATATGACTGAATTATATTGATGACATTTCAGAGAAACTGGAACTAAAAACATTCACTGTTGGAAACCAGACACCAAATGTTAAAAATGTTCGTGTGTATGAATTTTGTGAAGGGGTCCCCGGAGGTCAGAAACCCATTACATGGGTTAGCGTTAATAAACCACCAGCAGGAATAGATAGAATGTCTACCTATAAAGTCATAGTAGAATCTGATATCACCTTACATTGTGAAGATTTTAAAATGATATTCCATGCTAAAGTTGGTAACAAAAGGTTAGTAAACCATTATCAAGAAGACTTTCAATTACTCTTTAAACACATCCAATTATTTTTCTCTATATGAAAGAAAATGCTAAAATCTATGATTAAAAGACGAAAGATAAAATTTATTGAACTCTTTTAACTGGTCTGTTTTTTTTTTACAGAGTAAGTTTGGGCTTTGATATGTCAGTAGATGATTTAAATATATCTGGTACTATGCAAGCTATAGTACAATTTAGTATGGATATACCATTTCCACATATATCTAAAGCTACCATATCATTTGTTGAAAAGTAAGTACAGGTGTATTTTATGAACTTACTCCTGACTAATATAATACGAGAAATACTAAAGTTATAATTGGAAATGACATGCATAGAGCTACACAGTCGGATACCACCGGATAGAAAAGCTGGTCAATGCCAGCCACCACTAGTCTACACCAATGTCGGGCTGCCTGACTCAGGCAATGACATAAAAATAACAATGAAATATGCAAAATTTGCATGTATTAAAGTACAAGTATTAAAATCTCATCATCTTTTTGTTTTAGGCCAGACGTGACCTTCAACATCCACATGTTGCGAGCCATACAGTTAATGGAAGTACCATTATTAAAGAGTTGGATTCATACTAATGTTACTGAAGGGCTTACAAAGGGTAGGAAATCAAAGTTCTTTTCATAAATTTGATTATTGAGCAGTGTAAGAAATTCATAAACCTTAGCACCCTAATAAGTCTAGTATTGTTTGTTCATATGGCTGCATTTATGCAGCTGGTCTTCATTCGACCACATGGAGCAGAAAAGTAGGACGTAAAACTCCATTCATTTCATTTCATTTCCAATTATGTATCATTCTGTTTTATATTTGAAAAGAACAGATGAAAAAAACCTTATTAAATTTAATAAGTTGCTCATTTCATATAAAGGACAAGCTGTAGTAGTGTCAATGAGGACTTGGAATCTTACATGACATAATTTTGCTTGGTTGAACAAATGGTGGTTATTGGTTCTAATATCAGTACAGTGTGTAGGAAAGATCAATGCTTTTGCTAAGAATCTGCTGGTAGACCGAATCGTGATAACCTGAGTTGTTTTTCTTTTTTCAAATATTTTTATAAAGGGTAATTTTGTTCGAATTACAGCTATGGTGGACCCAGCCTCTGTAGACCTTCATTTCGCTAAGACTGGTCCAGTACAGATTAACAGATCAAGCCCAACAGTAGATCCAGCTCAAGGAGTGTTGACTGTTAAAATTAAAGGAAAACCACCATCTGATGCAAGTAAGTATCATATATTCCGGTATTTACAATGATAGCAGAATTGATCATCAGAATTATGAATGAAAAGAGCAATATGATACCTATTCACAGAAGCATGTGCCTTTGCATCAGATTTTTCCTACTTTCCTAGCAGACAACAATTATCTTGCAACAGACTTGAGATATTCCACTGCCACTTTAAGAAAAGCCGAATAAAGTTTTCAACTTGAAGCACCTGCCCATTGAATCCTTACTCATAAGCTTAGTAGTGGCCAATTTTTGGTCAAAAGAATGATTTTTACATGTTGTTCTTTAATTTTGCTTTGATAAAAATCTGTATTGTATATTATAGCTATAGAAGATATAAGATATTGTGTATTACGTATTGACAATAGAAAGAGAGAAACACGTGATGTACCTGCTGCTGAAGAATGGGAAGATATCTGTTCATTCTTTATCTATAATCTAGCTAAAGAAAAGGTAACACTAGTAATTCTAAATTCTTCATTTCATGTTACTTGGTTAAGTGATATATTATGTTTGTAACATTTCACTCAATTGATTGTCTTAAAGTGTCATGTAATTATCTCCAGAAAGAATTATTCTGAAAAAATTAGGGGAAATTCTTTATCTTTAAAATAGTTTTGTATCATTTCCATTGTATTGTATTAATATAGAGTGTCCACTAATAATTATAATAATTAAAATCTAATTATAATGAAATATTGATAATACAGATACAGATAAAACAGAAATGTAAAAGGTTATTGACAAGTACAGTTTTAGATCGCCATGATATCAACCTCTCCTCTCATCCATTTCAAGTGAGGAACATGTGAGTATTAAAACTTTATCATTAATCTATGGACCTTATTCTTGCAAAAATTAGAAATTTGACAGTGTCTTGATGTATGACATTCTGAGTTAAGTTCTAGTGAATGGAGGTCTGCAACTGGATTTTCATCTTTTTCATAAATCTTAGAGTATTTTATACGTAAATTGACATTTTTATGAAATATATCTAAAAACCAATTTGATAATAAGGGAAAGAAATATGCAACCTGATTATTGTTAATGTATAAATTCAGGTATTCATATGAATTCGAAAATTATTTCTTTTTTATAGTGCTGAAGATGTTTTTGAAAACAAAGATGGTTCCAAACTAACAATAAATATGGAATATTCGGCATTACCAAAATTAAATCTTGAAGATGTACCCAAAAATCCTGAAAACGTTGAAGAATGTAGGCATATCTTTATATCTTTTCATTTAAATTCATAATATTATTTAGTAAGGTGATCTAAAATCTTAACTAATGTTAGCCAGGAATCATCTGACCATGAGATAACTGACTGACCGTATATTTACATGTAAATAAGTTCTTAACTCATTAAAGTTTGACTAGAGTTTATCTCATACTTCTGCTAAACAGCTAGTTTTAGAAATGGGATTGTATTGGCTTATGAGCAAAGTAAATGAACTCCACAAAAATCCACAAGGAGAATATTCTTCAGTACAAGACCCTCATATCTAATATAAGATATAAATATGTATATGTTATAGTTGCTGGTGTATTGTATGTTAAACTTCATGGTGCTGCTAATGTTAAAGCTGCTGATAGAACTGGTGCTTCAGATCCTTACTGTGTTTTATTCTCTGATAGAAGAAGGGTAAGACAACTTAGCAAGTTACTGTAATTTGATTTGAGACTTTGCCAAAGTATACAAAAGTATAGTATTTTGTTTATAATTTAAGCGAACATTTTGGATAAAATACGATTAAAGCCCTTAAAGAAAATGTTAGGCCATGTAAAGACAACCTTATGTTGTCCTCATGCTGGGAACAGACGAGGGTACTTTATCACCTGACCATGTCAATTGATATTACCAGCAAATTTTTATGCCTAAGCACAAAGGGTCAAATGTAGCAAAATTTTTTAGAGCATACTCACTTGGTGGATTATATCTATTGATCATGTGATTGGTACTTTATGGCCAACTAACTGCTGATTAAAGGTTTATTAAAATAAATTTGTTAGCTTACTGATATTTTAGTTGAGAAACATACTTAGTTCATTTATCATCATAGACAATGCATTTAAAGCAAGTTATACATGTAATAGATCTAGATTGTGTACCTTAAGAGTGTGTCTTATTAGATATAAGTGTTGTTTCATATAATAGTATTCATATATCATGTGATATATCATCTTTTTTATTTTGCTAATAGAGGTCTAAAGACAGGGTAAGATAAAGTGTGTCACTGTCTAAACTATCTTCACTCTTTTAGTTCATATCAATTTTTATAAAGAACTTTTAATATTATGTATGTTTTATCAATCACAAACTCCAGTTTTGCTTTAATACAATCTAAATATTGAGAAAAAGACCATTCATTCAACTTAATGCGGGTGTTTTTGACTTAAAAAGTTAAACTTGAAGTAGTAATAAGATAAGATAAGATTTCCAATTAAAGGACGTATCAAAGGCACCAAAAATTAAATTTTTATTGGTTACCGTTTTATGCTGAATTATTTGCTTATTCATGACATCATTAGTAGAATATCACTATATGTGTTGTGTTGTGTTAGATTAGCACTATATGTTATATTTATTAAGGTACTTTTCTCTAAATACATACTTAAACAGCTAATAAAAATACAATATTATGTGCCAACTATATGTAAATAAATAACATAAAATAATCATGAAACTGTTGTTTTAATTGTACATGAACTAGTTGTTAGATAATTTAAACAGTGCTACCAGAAGGAAAATGAAATATATCAGCTGTTTAAGTAATGATAAGAGAAGTGTATTTTTTATTCTGATATGGAGAAGTTTCCCCGAGAATTACAACCGTATGATTTTGCCAGAAATTTATACAACTAACCACCTATATTATTTCAATTTAGGTATTCACTACACCGTATGTACCTCAAACCAGAAATCCAAGATGGGAAAGAGGTGTTGAATTCTTTGTGCGTGATTTTACCAAGGTAGATATGAATGTTTCTGAACTAGGCATAACTGTAAGATATAATTCTGCTTAAATGGCTAGAAAATTTGCCATAATGGCTTCTAGTCATAGAGATGCCTAGATAATGCCATTTGACTGGAAGCGAACAAAAACAAACAAACGCTTAGCAAATTATACTATACTACATTCTGTACTGACTTATTGTATTAAATACTGGTCATATATTTTCAGACTAATTTATCATTCTTTGTATTTGATTGGGATGGTACCAACACTATTGATGATGATTTCTTAGGTTCAGCTCATTTCTCATTATCTGAGGTAAATATTTCTTCTTGCTTTGTTTTTCCTTGTTATCATGTGATTTCCACATGCTGACTAACTTACCATCTTTAACCATGCTCAAATTTCACGTTGGTGGGTGAAAGAGCCAATGCATGACAAATTCTGCAATGCAATGTCAAACTCACATTATGTTCTTCATCATCAGAAAAAATTTCTTTCACAACTTAACTGACTGAGAACTTTTTTAATTTGATATAATTACAGCAAGAATGTTGTGTGATCAAGAAGAATTTAATACTGGGCTATAATGATCCTAATAAAGGTTATATAGAAGATATATCATGTGGTCAAATAACAGTATCAGTTATCTTTAGACCAGTACCATCAGTAGCTAAATCAGGTAGAAGTCCACCATTATTGCTTGTTACATGATCAGTTATATTGACTTGGAATTTCACTTATATCTTGACTATACTTATGACTTAGGTATATGCTCTCAAATGTGAAATAAGTTTTGGTAAGAGTTATCTTTAATTCCATTGGTTTGGAGATTTGAAATAGAATTTTCTACAGCATTTCGAGATTTGATATTTTTTGTTCTATTATTTTGTCAAAGTATTTTTATTTTTTTTTATTTTTCAGAGAAATTCCGATCCTTATTAGACAGTATCAGTCAAAATAATACTGATTATTTATATAGAGAAGATCTGATGTCACCAGCCACCTCAGTAAGTTTTATTTCTCTAATTATTTTCCATTCATCATTATTATTCTTTAAGGTCAGGGTAAGTGTTGATATAACTGTCTTCATAATAAATTCAATATGAATATCTGATCAAAATTGAAAATAAAGATTGAAAACTTTAGTGCTTGAACTTATTTTGAATAAAATGAATCTAGATCTCTTACAAAGGATGTGAAATCCAAAACCTAGTCTTATACCTAGAATTATGTTTGTTTTCATTGTGCACTAGAAATAATGTGGATGATATTATTTTATGAATATTTTTGCAATCAAGCTTAATAAAAATTTAAGCTGTAATTTGAGGTCATTTGACATGTAACTCTACTTAAAAATGATCAACACTTAGCCTCACTTTATTGAATTCCCATAAAAAGATGAGTTCAAATGATATTGCATGTTTTTTTGTCCTGTAAGGTAATGGCTAGTTATGTATTTATGTAAGCTCTATAAATCATCATGTTTCATGGGTAAATTTTAAGTTTAAATATTCGTGAAGTTTTTAATTCTTATTTGCTATAGTTAATAGTAGTGATGCTTAATTATGAATTTTTAAAGTGATAATATTTTTTTAATATTCAATATAAATTTTCCTATTATTTAGCTACAGGTAAATTAAAGATATTTCATTATTAATTAATTCTAGTCCATTAACATCTTAGTCATTCTCTTTACTTACATGTATATCATTCTTTTAACATAAATATTCTGTATATTTGGTATGTGAATTAAGCAATGTATATATTTATAGATGTAGTTAAATGAAATTAATAACGCTGAATATATAGGTGTATTATATAGTATTTTCCTGGCATTATTCTGAAATATTGCATGTTTCCCATTAGATGCTTGACACATAAAAATGCATATCAAAAGTGCAACATTTTTTAACTGTATATTAGTGTCATAAATTTGAGTAGGATGATATGCCAGAAATTCAATAAGATAAAAAAAAGTTTGATTTTCATCAAAAGCATAACATGAAACAAAGATGAATGAAAATTCCAAGGGAATTGTTTTGTATTGAAGCTCTGGAAGATCCTAAACCTAAAGGTTTCTTACAGAAAGATATATTAAGGATCAATATCTAAACAACACATTCATCATTTGATGTAAACAACATCATATTCATCATAATATGATGTATGGATACATGGTATATTGTGATAAGATTGTCTATTCATATTATGTAAGATTTGTGAAATACAAAAAGAAATGGATGCAAAACTCATTAAGTTATTTTGAATTCTTAATGAACCTTAAAGATTAACAATAATTCATATTTAAGGAGAAATGGACAATTGAAAAGTTTCAAGTGTTACTTGCTAATTTATCAGTATTCAGTTATTACATCAAACAAAAATATGTCATTTTCCATCAACATAACATCAGACTGTACAAATATTGAATGTAAACCTGAAATATGTAAATACAGTCAAAACATGCACTAAGTTTTGATTTATGATCTATTTTACACATTTCAAAATTTGAGTACCACTTCAGTGCACGAATACCACTCATCCTTAAAGCTTCTTCTTTTAATGACTGTCATATATATTATATCTTTATCCTACACATTTACATATTATCAGCACCTTTTATCTATCTAATGTGTAATCTATAACTTATATAGCATGTCTGTATAGCATGTCTTTATAGCATGTCTGTATCTAGGTCACATATTATCCCATGTTACTTTCATCGTCATTCATCTTTTTTTACAGGTATAAATTAGGATTTTAATTCAAATTTTAATTTGTTTAGCAGAAAAAAATGTTTTATTTAATAGTGTGGTGTTTATAGGGTTAATAATTTTTCTTGAAATTTATGTATTTTTTTTACTTTTTTTTTGCATCTTGTTTTTGTTTTTTGTTTATCAGAGTGCTGTTTATGGTAGACCTACACATTATAATGTAAATGAGGTACTAAATAATTTTGTTCCCTCTGCTGTTGTGATTTTCTTTCTTTCTTTTTATGGTGCATGTTAGATAGAAATAGTCTAGAATCTAAGGGTTAGGGTTTATTTTACATTTTTGGTAAACTGTTTTGGAATAGAAGTTTTTTGTTGATTTTGAGGGTTGTATCTAACTACATTACAAGACTTTGTATAAGATGGAAAACTAGTTGTTTCACTCAGGATACATATCTTGGGATACACACTATTTTATAAATGCTGAAAACTATAGTCAATTGAAGATATATTGACACATCTTATTACAGATATTGAGAGTAGAAATCCGATAACCATGTTTCATATGAAATTCAATAAAAATTGTCCAGGCCAATTTTTTTTGTCGTTGTTTTCAGGTTGTTGCACCTGATCACATACTGTAATGATTTAGCTGCATTGAAAAAATTAATAACGCCTTTGGCGAAAACATTTAGCAGAGCAAATATATGGACGAAAGCATTACTTTAACACAAGCGTCAACTTTATACATGTATATATACAATATCAGCTAAAGTCTTAAACAACAAAACTTTGTTAAAAACAATTAAATACATGTATACATGATGTATAATGTATGAAATGCAGAAATTTTACAAAAGTGCACATCAAGTACATTATCACATTTTGTTCAAAAAACAAATGTACACAAATGTATACAAAATGGTTAGATTATAATAACTAAGATATGCTGGTAAAGTGAGAAAGTCGCTCTAATGATTGTATTGAGCAACTATCGGGCTATATGGGCAATTTGTAGTTCTTAATGGAACTTAAAGTCCTGTGAAAATACAATACTAGAAAAATACATTAGATACAATAATAAATGTATTCCAATGTTTGCATATTTTGATTGTATAAGGTGTCATTTTAAAGCAACCATTTTTAATGCATTGTTCACTGCTAATTGTTGAGTGACTTTGTTTTTGTGTGAAGAATTGCTAGAAATGAAAGTGCTTTGAGAATATTTGAATGGTAATGTGCATTAAATGTTCAAGATACAACATTATGTTTATTTTGCATATACAAAACTTAGATTTCTTTTCTTATGATTTGTTAAGAATTAAAGGATAATCCTTATAGCTCCTAAAATTGTTGATGTCTCTGAACTATAGTACTGTAATATAGATATTAATTCTTGTTTCACAAATATCTGTATCAAAGCTATTATTCATTCTATTAAATCGTAATTTCCTTTAAATTCTCTTGTACACTTCCCTTCCTATAATTTCCATGTTTCATTGTATACCAAATGATTGATCTTTCATGTTATGTTTTCATCAAACTACTATTTTATGTTATATATTGTTGGATATTAAATCATTCATAATTTATACTGTATTATATGTATCATTATTTTCAAATAGTCTTCATGAATATTGAATGATGTTTGTCACTTTCATCAATAAGTAATTTTTATTCATTTAACATGATCATATGATTAAGTTTTTATCCATCAATATTAGTTCTATTTATAATATTATTGATATTATGATTTTTCTAGGGTCCAAATCGATTACCGAGTCATGCTAATTATATGGATACATATTTAGCAGGTAGGTTGTTTTCTATTTGTTTAAAGGTAATTTTCAAGTAAAAAAAGGTCATATCTCTTTTGAGTATTTCTATATTTTAGACTTGACTTAATTTGTTTTATTTGTAAAGGTTTAATTTCTTGGCTGATGTCTGTGCCAAGATGGATGAATTAATCTCTAATTCCAAAGCATACCATTGAAATAGTTGCAAATGCTAAAGGTGTAATATCTGAGGTAGGCTGTCTCAAACTGTTGTCCAATCAAAATTGACCCTGCTGTCTTGCTAGTGTAATTTCAGCCAATCTGAAGGAATCCATCGTTTTGACTTGCAAATGTAAACAAAACGAAAGCAGCGTGTCATTGAATGTTTTGATTAATATGAATGGTACAGAATTGAGTAAGATTTTCGGTAAAGAATTGAATCAGAGCGAAAATCAAACCTTTCTTTGGAATATTTACTTGAAATTAATGTGTTCTTATCTCTTCCAACCTTTTTAAATAGCACCAATCTCATTTCCATGCCCACAAAACGAACTGTGGGCTTAATTTAATACGTGTTATAAGACCATGTCAAAACCGTATTTGTAATACGATGATACTCTGTATATATCTATTATGAAATAAACTGTTGTGATATGATTGTCTGATTTTAGGGAAAACTATTGTTGAATTAACAATATTACAAGGGAAAGATCTGGTTGCTATGGATAGAAATGGTATGTATTGTGTTTACATTAAATATATTATTTGATTATACATATTTAGCTTAATTTTAGAGTAAAAGATGAGATTTCATATATTGTTTAGAAACTATCTACGTACATTGTTATTGTTTTGAATTTATTTGTTCTTTAGCTTTTGGTACAGAAGGTAAAGTTTATACTATAAGCATGGACGTTAAGTTTAATTCTTAGACCAACTTTTACTAATTGCAATTGTTTCCTAAGCCCATTTTTATGTAATTCAAAATTTAGAATTATTAAAACCTGAAACATGTTGTTACTCAGAGTCTCAGCTATGTTATAAATATGTATATCTCCAATACATGGATAGCTCTCAGGAAATGGTTGATAGTTATGTACAATCCCCTCTCTGAAACAGTACTGCGTCTGACTGAACTGGCAGACCTCTGACATCTTTTTTTGCCAGCACCGTGTGTGTGATAAGCATGTAGCTTGATATAATTAGTTTCAATCCTGATTAATGATTTCAACCAGATTTTAATTTGGAGGAGGTGCTTGGGTTGTATCATTTTTAACAAATATCACCTTCAAATTTACAAGCTATCATTTTCAATTTGCATGGACTTGATAGATAGTATTTGTTTTACAAAAAATACAATGTCATGCAAGTTTATAGTAAAAATATATTAATTTTCAATGAACACCAAATAAATTGTATTGTGATATCTGATTAATCAACTGGATGTATTGAATATTTGCTGATACAGTGACTAATATTGACAGAGATTTCAAATGAAATAGTCAAAAGCCATTAGAGGAATTCCTCCAGCTAACCCTCCATGAAGCATGCTGATATTCATGTGATAAAATTTGATTGGTCAAGATCTCAAATCTATGTGTGTCCAGAATAGTTATGTTTGAAAGCTAAAGTGATGACTTTGCTTTTCTGAGAAATAGAAAGTGAAATTTCGAGTTTGAGGTATTTTTCAAGGAATTAGGCGATTTTTCTTTTTTTACTTCTGAAGACTATTTTCATATATTTAAGACCCAAATCAACCCCCCAAACATGGTGAACCTGTACTTTTTAGAGCTGAACTGTAACTTTTGTATACTCTATTAGATATATACTTTAAGACGTTTTAATATATCTTTATATAGGTTACAGTGATCCATTCTGTGTTGTTTTGTTGGATAAAAACAAGGTGTTTACAACTGGTGTCAAGAAGAAGACATTATTTCCTAAATGGAATGAAACTGTAACAATAGAATTACCTTCAGATAAGAGTGAAATAGAAATTGTAAGTTGGATGTATGCTAATGCGATTCTTTATATGTTGTCTTTTCAAGAAGTAATATGTAAATATTGTTAACCAACCCCTTTTATATGATAAGATTATGTTATCAATATTTATTTACTTCACTGTAACAGTCCATGTAGCATAGTGGCTATGATTTTTGACTAAATTTCATGGAATATCTGTTTAAAAAGGCCCAGGTTTTTCCCTAGCTGAAAACGTGAAATTAAGATGGCTTAAGCTTTTTTGAAAATGTTGTATTATTTCACTGAAATAGCCATGTTGAATGATGTGAAATGCAGTTTTTGTGAAAATAAATAAATATATAATATATAAATTTTGTTAACAGGATGTTTATGATAAAGATATATTAGGAAAAGATTTTATGGGAAAATTATTTGTGGAGTTAGATAAACTGAAGGAACTTTCAATTAAGGTAAGTCTCTCAGAATAGCCCCTGATCCAGAGAAATTTCTACAAAAATTACACAAAAAAAATGAGTCCCCCCAGCTCCATACATATGCTTGGTACTTTCTAGTGTAATCATTATCATTCATAGGTCCTAAGAAAATGGTCATATACATTCGGTAGTTTAAAGTGTTTACATTAATAGTTATTATAAATATATTACAGGGAATATCAGAATGGTTTCCACTACAGAAAACTAAATCTGGTAAAATACAGTTAAGATGTTCTGTTATCTCCAAAGATATGGTTGTAAGTTATTGTCTTGTGTCTTCATTTCTAGTGTCTTTATAATTATTAAAAAGAAACATTTCAAAACACAAACAGGAAAGGCTAGCAGTTTCCTTGGTCTTGGAATAGATATTTGGTTTCCCTTTACAACAAACAGCCTTGGTCGGCCATTTTTGTCAACGACTAGAGCCTTGTCAAGAGTTTCATTGACTGCTGCGAGCACACAAGGAGACAAAAAAACTTCAGTCAGTCAGTTTTCACCATGTTGATAATCACATGCGAATCATACAATTAAAAGGAAAATGATTCTAATTTGATGATGGTGCTCTGTCTTGCAGACGGTAAAACAATCGTCGACATATATCAAACTTGTTTGATATTATAAATCCTGTCGCAAATGTGATAATCTTGTTGTGAAAGCGTGGGCACATATGAGATTTTATGCAAGGTTCATGTCAGCGACAAAAAACGGCAACCACGATCGTATAACATGTGTCTGCACCCCTAGGCTTTTCTACAAATAAAACAAAATTCTTCTGTTTATGCTTTTAACGACTGTTTAGTGTTGAAAATATCCTTGCATGCTACAAAATAATCTTTTTAGATTCACTGGTCTACTAGTTTATACTTATTTTCTTTTAATACACCTATTTTATTGCAATTTTTAACACTTTTCGGTATTGATAGATTTAAAAGATAAGATTTTTGTATTGTATTTAACATTGTTAAATGCATGTTTCAAATAAACACAAGATTGAAACTGATTCTGTGAACATTAGTTTTCTAGCACTGTAGTATAGTCTAGGGAAGATATTTGTGCAAGCATGTGCATAAATCAACTTGTATCTGGTTGAATAGATCGAAATATATCAAATTTATAATGGTCTTCTTTTTACTCTTATTGAAATTAGACCAAACTTGCGTGCTGTTTTTTATTTAGCTTTTATTTTTGATATAACTACTTCAGTTAAGGTCTAATGACAGCCCTCTTGTTCAAAAGGTCAAAAGGTTAATTTGACAATGGCTGTCATGAGACCCTAATTGTTGTTAGACCCTAACTGAAGTGGTTATATTGCAAACAAAAGCTAATGAAAAAACGAAACAAAAGTTTGGTTTAATTTTTGATTAGAGTGATCTTTATTTGAATCAGTTTTCTGTTTTCTGTTATTTTGTTTAAGTGATGCACCTCCATTCTGTAGGAACTGTTTTATATTCTATCTAGATATAGATGAATGTTGTATTTTTTTAGATATTTTATATGTTTGTGCACTTTTTGTTTTTTTTCTGTGTAGAATTCAGATATATCATTTGAGCAATCAACTTATAATGAGGTTTTTGATTCTTCTTTAGAACAAACACCTCAACCCAAGGTAATTTAAAGTGTATTTACTTTACTAATAATTTGCATGAATGTTGATGAAAAAGTCCATGAATGTGGATGTATGTATACCATAACATGTCTTAAAAATCTTTGCTGTTGAATAATTAGAATTTTGAAACTTTATTGGAAGATGGGAATTAGTTATTGGCTTTAAGATGAGAATTAGTCTGTCAGCTTCAAGATGGGAATTGGTCCATTGGTTTCAAGATGGGAATTAGTCCATTGCATTAAAGATGGGAATTAGTTATTGGGTTAAAGATGGGAATTAGTTATTGGCTTAAAGATGGGAATTAGTTATTGGCTTTAAGATGGGAATTAGTTATTGGCTTTAAAATTGTCTTTAGAATTTGGGAAAATAATAGTTGACTCCATTGGCTTTAAGATAACATATGGTGAAACTTATTTGTTATTATTATTTCTAGTCAACTATACCCACTATAAATGCTGTTAGTCCAGATGATGGTAAAGTTTATGATAATAATAATAAATATATGGATCGTAACCAATCAGCAACATTTGAAGTTAGTCCTAATATACAACTTCAACGTTCCTCATCTGATTTAAACATTAATAATAATTCGGTACCAAGAAGTCGGACAGCTAAAAGTTTTAATGAGAATGATACTATGAGTATAGGAAGACGTTTAGGTGGTGTTAATACAAGACATGGTGGATCGTAAGTATTGATATATGATATACTCAAAATTTAACAGATTTAACGGTATAATCATTATATTACATTTAAATCCACTGACAGATTTTGCTTTTTATGATGTTACAGCTTACTTACCAACAAACTGCAACCAGACAATCTTAAGATATAATTACTCAGTGTATCTCCAGAGCCATTTGAAGTGTATATAATTTAAAATAATTCAAAGGATTTTTTCAAATGGTATGGTACATGTAAGCTTAAAGTCAATCAAAGATATTTTAGCCAACCCATTATAACTTAAACACGTGGTCGATATTTAGGTACTTTAAGTATTAATCAAGACAACTTAAGTTTAGGTTATTTAGTTACTCTTACTATTTATTCTACCGAAAAATATCTTTTCTTATTTTGTTTCTTCATTGTTTTCTGCATGCCTGATATATTTTTTCAGAGTGAATTCTGTTGCTTTGGGATCAAGGGGAGATAATATATCTACAGGTAAATAATCTGACTCTTACCATATTATCACTAATAAAATACTGTAGATAACACTGTAACTATCTCTGATGTTGTATCCTTTCACAAGTTCACATAGTTCTTTTCACAGTCATTTCCACAATTTTAAGCAAGGCAACTCAGACAGAGTAGAAGTTTTAAATATTTATTTTGCACTATGTAAGTGAATGTGCCTACACATATATAAACCTGAAAATATGAATTCCAGTAATTTATTAGCGAATATGCCAACAGTGAAAGGGATTGTAAAGAGGTTTTCTTAATTTTTTACTTGCGCTTGGACACTGATTTGATCAAATTGCACCTTTCCAATTTTCAGTCAGATGTCTGTGGTTACTGTAATTCCAGTAAAACTAAGTATTTGATGATGTCACTCATTGCCAAGGGACTTGAAGGATACAAGCATATTTGGTGATTAGTTATCAAACACTTAATTTTTTGTGGAATTACAGGAACCACAGACGTCTGACTGAAAATTGAAATGGTTCAAATTGATCCTATCAGTGTCCCTGATACACTTAAAACATTTATAAAACCTCTCTCTCTACCATCCCTCTAATGACATATATATATATATATATATATAAATATTAGAAAAAATGAAGATTCCAATAGAAAGTTTGAGTTGGTTTGATATGTCCTAGCCCACATTTTTGGTTGCATTGCTTGTTATGCAGAAGTTATATTTATTTGCATTTGCTTTGTTTAGAATTCTCCAGGTCTAATAATGGTAAGCTTTTAGAGTCCTTGTAGTCTGTTTATTATTTGCACATTTTGTAATGTCTGTCTTATTGCTCATGTTGACCAGTTACTAATAATCCTGACTATTTACTGTCTTAGACAACAATTTTATGAGCTCCTAGGAATATACCTTTTTTTGCGTCTTAACTTCCTAGTGTTAAAGATAAGAAGTTTAATTGGTTAAAGCAGAGGTCATCAGGTTAGATCAAAAGGTTGTTAGGATAAATGTTTAAGAGCTTAATGTAGTGGCGACATTAAAAATTAAAGCTGATAAAAATTGGGATGGAAATTTGGTCTAATTTTAATGAGACTGATTTTAAATCTGGAAAAAAGATGTGATGTATTTTTTTTTGCTTTCATTTAGCATATTTATTTTGGTTTAACAAGTAGCTGGTCAACATTCTGTGTTCTTGGCCTAACTTGTCACTGCTTCATACATCATACCTATTCACTGAATACATATATATACTATTTGTGAAATGTAGAATTAGAACATTGTTTTGTAATTTTTTGTCTTATTTTTTTTTTTTTTTTTGAGATTTCTGTGTAGCTTAACTATCAATTATCTGTACTTTTAGTTTAATATATTTGATCCTTGCTAGGAAAAAATAAATGCTGAATAAAACATAACATTTTATAAGTAACAAACATGTTTTTTGTGACACTGTATGAAATTAATTATAACAGTGAAATTTATATGGTACTTTTGTATAGATGAAGTCATTTGTACGTGTAGTTCTAATGTTTTAGTAGAAAATTAAACTATAATAAGTCTTAAGGTTTTTGTTATTTACTTGTGAAAATATCAATTGATCTATAGCTAATGTTGTCAAGTCCTAAAATCTTATACTGAAATTTCAACTTGTCTATGTCAATGGATTTTCTTATTAGAATGATTCATTAAAATTTCAATTTTTAAATCTAATCTCTTTTTATATAATTAATCTTATTGAAAAAAATAAATTCTACTATTAAGTACATATGAAAATTGATCATCCTTAACAATAGTTGCTTAGTTGTTCACACTTGAATGTATAATTTTGCTGGGTGTTTTCCGCATTGCAAGGTGTTATTCTTGTAGGATTTGTACTTCATTAGGATTTTTGTGATTGTTAACAACACCTTCTCTATCGAGAGTTCTCTTTAACTGTATTTATGTAACAAATATGTGTAATAGTGAAAAATGTGTACAAGAAAATATATGTTTTTTAATTGTAGGTAGTTCTATAGCTGGTGATAAAGTATATAGTGTTAAAGGTGAAGTTATATCAGCTAAAGGGTTAAATGAAAATAATAATTATGGTGATATATACTGTAAAGTTAGAGTTGAACAGTAAGTTTCTTATCTTCAACTTGACAATCTTTGTCATGTCTGTTAATAGTAGACCTATAGTTAACTTGATACATGACATTGATATTGAAAATATAGACAACAAACAGTCTACTTCAAAAGTTCTACAACAAATCACTATATTAAATAGTCAGCCCGTATTATCTTATCAAGTCTGTACAATTTTCATGGATGTTAATGTAAAGCTAACATGATTACATGAAATAACTATTTACGATTTATTCTTTATTTCAGGCCAGGAAGTAGAATCTCTTTGTTTTCAAATACACGAGTCATAGCAAAATCACCTTTGATTAAATCTACTAATCCTACATTCTATCTACCATTTGAGGTAAGTAACAGGATTTATGGCTCAGTAGATTAAAGATAAGTTAGTTAAAGGGACATGTTAATGCTCCATTTGAAATCTTGAATATATGTATATAGTCTCAGGAACTACTGGAAATGTACGAAAATTTCAACGAGGAATTTCTTTTCCTGTTTCTATAGATGTCTTTTGTATATATGGCAGTGTTTCAAGAAGAGACCACGCATTTTTTAACATTTGACATCTCTTGATCATGTTGTTTCACAGGTGCATCCATCTTGGAATGAATTACCTTCATCTCTGTGAGAAGTTTAAGGGGTAGTTGATGAGGGTGCATTGGTTTATACTTGGTTATAACGCTGTCAGTTTGACACGTGTGGTGCCGCATTGAATCACTTCAGAGTGTAGTGTGATGCTACCAAATTGAATGTGCCATAAAGAAAGCGAATTCCGGAATCGGTTTGATAACGCTTCCAGTGCAGCATTTGATGCTTTACTATTGATTTGTCACGTGTAACATAGCAATGTGAATCAACTCTGTAGCCTTATAATACTCATATCTATATAATATTGACTCTTGACATATGCGTTTAATGTAACATGACTATTTGTTATTCACAATTTGGACAAAAATTAGAAAATATGGCCATCATAACAGTGATATGATTCAGACTGTAAGCAGAATTTTCAAAAAAGACTATCTCATTTGTTTAAGGAAAATCTGTCAACTCTTTCAGTGAAAATGCAGCAACAGTCTCTCAAATTTTGTTACTATATTATTTTTAGATTGATAGAGGTCATGGTATATCAGCTGATAGTTTATTGATATTTGATATCAAGAGATCCAGTAAAGATCATTTGGCTACTAAAGGCTATACATTACGTTATCTTTTAGCAGGTAATTTAGCTTTATTAAATTAATTGGTGCTAAAGTAATAATTCTTGAAACTTGAAACAAAATGTGGCAAAGTAAATTTAGTGTACAATGTTGCTTAAATAAAATATAAGATTTCTGTTTGAAGTCTTGACTAGTGCTTAAATAATGGGATGATATCAGAATGAATTCAATTTTTATTGCTATTTTTTTTAGAAACTGATGATGAATGGAAGACTAGATTAACCATACCACTTCAGAATAATATAGAGATAGATATATCACTAGAACACGGTAAACCTACACACCATCGTCGACGTTTAATCAGTAACCTATCATTTCGTAAAGATAAACATCTGTAAATATCTCCTGTCAGTATTATTCTAGATTGTCTATGACTTTCATGGGTTGTATGAATATTTTAGCTGGCTGAATCACCATCATAGGCCTTGGGAAATCTTGACAGGCAATTACACCCAAAGGAAATGCCTTCGATGGATAACAACAGTGTTTTGATATACATAGGATATCTTCATGGTTTTCAGCTATGTATATCAGAATAATGTTTCAAGATTTTTTTAGAAGCCTTAATATATTCATCTATACATAATATACTTTATGATATTATGTTCAGACTATTAATGTGGCCTTTAATCTGTTCATAGATTCAACTGACAATCCTCAATACATTTACATCGAGTTTTTCTTTCTAGTTACTGTTTATGCACAAAAATGACATCATGTTTAGACAGTTTTTTTTTCTCATGGACTTTTCATTTTCCTTTTTTTCATTGACAATTTTTTTTATCTCTAAGACTTGTTATTTAGAATTTATAGATATCTTTCATTATATTCTTTATCAATGTCCATGACTCACCCTCCATTTTATCATTAAGATTATCAATACTCATGTTTCAACTTGTGAGATAATCTTTCAATTTGGATGTGGTTTTGTGTTTTTCTTCAAATATTGTTAAATTTAAATCTATTTTGATAAATCATCAATAATAGTGCTAAAATTAATTTATTTCTGTTATGTCATAATAAATAAATTAGTATATATTTTATCTATTGTATATTCTATTGTATATAAGTAGTGTTTATTTAGATTTATTAGTGTTCTGATATATTTACATGTCATTTGTGTTTCATCTTTGATAGGGACCAATTATATAAAATACACTCCTGATAATGCTTGCAAATAGTCTATATAGCAGATTATAGATTCAAGATCTTCATTATAAAATTAAAAATTTGTGTAATTTCAAAAAGAAATGTGTCTTGGATGAAATCACCATCTCGAGATCAAAAAAGCTAACATACTCCATACAATTATATTATATGAGCTAACCTAATGTTTACACAAGTTTTGAATAAACTCCAACATCAGAACGACTGGGTTATTTAAATGTCTAATATTAGAGTTAATTTAAATGCCTGATATAATATTAGAGTTAAAATTAAGAAAACTACTAAAATGAAAATTTTTTGAGTAAATCTTCAATGTATTGGTTGGCCTGTTTTGTATGTGTTAATTAAAAGATATTGTGAGTACTAATTCTAGAAGTAGAATAACCAATAAATCCCCTCATTCTAATCTTAAAGTTTGATTGTTTAAGGTTATATATTTTTTTCAAGGGGAAAGGAAAGGTTGTATTAATCTGATTTCGATTTTAACATGACTGTGTATGTATTTGTGACGTCTTTGATGGTATAACTTTGAAGGAGTAAAGTTTAGCATCCCTGTGATCAAGTTACCAATTTGGTAGTTAAAAATTCACAGCTCTCAAAATATACCTGTCAATTACGTTAGGATATATATTAAAATTGTAACAGATTTAATTGACTTTGAGTCTGCTACTTTATTATATAGTTTGTAGATGTGAATATCATGGCATTAACATGAAGGTGGTGCTCGATTTGTTAATTCTGAACATGTTCTGCATTTGTTTCACCTGCAATGTCACAAGATATAAGATCAAACATGTGATATGTCACATTCAAAATTTAACTTGATTTATTCTTTTTCCACCATTTTGAATTCTGTCAAGTGCTCTAACATAACCACAGTATGACCACACTGTAAACTTACATGATCGACATTAGGTGAAACTTCTTGTTACCAAATTATTCAAGTAGAATTGAAAGTGGATTTCAAATTTTTACGATTTACTATGATGAGACATAGTATCATAAATAAGTATTCATCTGTATATGGCATTTTTGGAAAAGACACTTGAGTTTGATTATATAATTTTATACTGCTTTCAAGACATTTAGACATTTCATTTTTCGAGTAATACAAACATGGTGAAGGGCAGAATGCGTGTTGGACAATTCTTAGAATTAACATATAACTATAGGGCTTAGCCTATTTTGTAATCATTTCATTTTTATGTATGTGTATGGGATACCTTAAAATTTTTATCTCCGTTATTTACAGTAGGACCAAGTAGACAGTTAAGAAGGCAGCAATATTATTGGCAGAATCTTAATCTTTAGATATCTATTTGGGGTTTTCATCACCTGAGCAAGGAACAGAGCCAAATGTTAGTGAAAACACCTTATTCACTGAAATGTCGTAAAGTCTATCAACTACTTGTTTCTGTAACTTTTTTCATGAACTTTTTATTATTGCTTCAGTTCTAATGATATTTTAAATAAAACCTAAAAGCTCCAGATTTCCTTTCTTTTTGATGCAAATGGGTTTTTTTTTTATAAGGGATTTATCTCCAATTGTTTGACTAATGCACACAGTCAATCGAACCCTTCACCAGAAAATGGGTATAATTTCATTTAAATATATCGGATCATTTGAATTTTAATAGTCAAGCTTAAAAGATAGAAACCCAACCAACTCACATTAACAAGAAAGTTGAAATTCAACTTATACACAATAATGCAATTGTTAGGATGTAACCGAATTACATGGATAACTTTTTAACTTTCTATGGAAGTTGGCAGGTAACAAGAACAACAATCTTTGAAGTTGGAATTTAACCTCCAATAAAATTCCTTAAAAAATTTTGCTTTTTTCAAAACTATTTTATTAAAGGTCTAACAGCATTGGTGATTATTTTACAATAAATACAGAACTTGAATCATCATCAAGATGTCATTAATGTCTAGTCATTCATCACCATAGATATCTTCAACACAGATGATCAACTACTGCTTACTTCTTGTCAACTTGCATAACATTTTTCTCACTATAGCGAATCCTAGTACTCCTAGAAAAATCCATCCAACTACTTCCTGAAATGACAATCAATAAAGAAATTTCAAATAAAGAAGATAGCTTGCCAGGCAAGGTAATATACGCCCGACTGGCAGCTTTGATTTTGAACATAAATATTTAGCAGTACAGTAACAATCACCGGTATGAAATATTCAACCTTCAGTCATACACTTCTTTTGAACTATTTAGGGCGATACTGAATAATATTGAGTATGAGTTATTGCCCTAGTTCTTGAAAACGTGTTCAATCTTTAGCTTGTGAAAACTCTAGAAGACAAATATTAAATCTTCAGCGCAATAATGAATAATAAAACCAAGTTTTGTCAAAATTCGGCAAGAATCACGCCTTCTAGAGTTTTTATGAGCTATAAATTGAACATTTTTTCAAGATCAAGGACAATAACTCATATTAAATATTTTTCAATTTTTCTGATTTTTAATAGGGTTCATCCTTGGGTGATTACAAACACTCATACGAAGTTTCGTTAAAATGCATCAAGAACTGTGCATTCTAGAAACTTTACAAGCTAAAAATTGAACACGTTTTCAAGAATAAGGGCAATAACCCATACTCAATATTTTAAGATTCTTCTGATTTTCATTAGAGTTCATCCTTGGGTGATAACCAACACTCAAGCCACTTCGTTAAAATCCGTCAAGAATTGTCCCTTCTAGAATGTTTACAAGCTAAAATTTGAACGCGTTTTCAAGAACAAGGGCAATAACTCATACTAAATATTTTTCAATTTTTCTCTTTTTCAATACGGTTTATCCATCTGATTTTCGATAGGGTTTATCCTTGGGCGATTAGGAACACTCATACCAAGTTTCATCAAAATCCGTCATAAATTGCACCTTCTAGAGTGTTTACGAGCGTTTCAAGAACAAGGGCAATAACTCATAGTAAATATTTTTCGATTCGTCTGATTTTCAATGGGGTTCATCCTTGGGTGATTACAAACAAGCATGCCAAGTTTCGTCGAAATCTGTCAAGAATTGTGCCTTGTATAGTGTTTACGAGCAATAGTGGACTGACGGACGGATATTGGTGACGGCAATATACGCACCCCATTTCATGTGGGCGTATAAAAGTAAAATGTTTGGCAGATCCAATGACACAAGATGTATACCAGTAAGCTTATAGGCCTAAAGTCAAATTTATTACTTTATGACTTGATTTTATTAAAAAGGCCTACTTAGCTACTTGTATAGCATCTTGGAAACTCAGCTTGCCTGTGGTTTAATAAGAATCTAGTTTTTAGCAATAGACTATTTTAGATCAACTTATTAGAGCATTATTTTAATAGATTCAAATTAGCTGTAAGCCTCATGATGTTGAAAGTTCACTATTCATAGACTTGGATCATGACCATGACGGGTTGCACATGATATTTCCATCGGAAAATTTATGACTTTCCATAAAGTTATTGCCTCATTGGTGAACGTAAACAAATAGGGTAGTTAATACTACTGTACGGTAGCCACTGTAGGTAACACTGTCTGACCATAGAACTGTATACTGGACATGCTTTTTCGAATGCATATTTCTACCAGGAAACGCCCCACCAGTTCTCTGAGATATAACTAACACAACATAACTTATAGTTTCTACTTAATGCTTAAGCAGTCCAACAATATTCGATTCAGTTTCACTTAGCGACAGCATGACATTGGCATGGAACTTACCTCTCTTGATTTCCCTTCAGTCAGCTTATCAAATTGTTTTTTAGCTCCTTCTGCTGCTTTTTTTGCCGCTTCTTGTGGATTTGTAGCATAGTTTGGCTGGTGTCTCAAATTAAAGGGCCTCTGTTGCCTCAAGAAAGCTGAAGATACTCGAATTAATGTTCCTGACATTTTCTCGACCTTGACTCGAAAAGATTAGTTATTAATTATTTGGGCTAACTTTTTATGTCAACTGATCAATTGTAATCGACAGTCTGTGGTGGTGTACAAATTTAAGAGTCGATATATATATATATTACAATATTATAACAAAAACAAGTAATTTGAAACATACTCAAAACAACAGAAAAATTGAGTTAGGGCGATATGTCTGCCATAATAATCTACTAGATTTTGATAACTTACTGTTTAAGAATCTTTACGTCGTTTCATAAGAATAACAATATTTTCGCTTTTTAATTCTATTTCAACAATTACAATAATTCCAACAATTTAGTGAATCAGCATAGGACACTAAAATTGGACGTGAAGACAGTGTCAATTCGTCAAGAGAGTATATAATAGGTGTACAGATTCCTAGCTTTGAAACAACTGAAACGAACAATTTGAATGTACTGTTGTTTATCAACTATTTTAAGTTCCAAGAAACCGGGCATAAAGACAAATAGATAAACTTAGTAGGCCTACGCCGAATCGCAAAGCAAAACCCGAAATCCAAGCAATATAGACCTACTGGCAAAACATTGGACATGATTGGTAGCAGATATTCTAACTTAGAATCTAAGTCAATAATTCTAGTCTAAACCATTAATGAACTTTTCACGAGGAAGTTGAGGAAGTTTGTAGAAACTACTAGTACTAGTAGTAGCTGAGCATATCAATCTGTTTCACTCATTGATTATTGATATTGAATTAAAATTTGATATGTCAATTCCATTAAAGAAATTTTTGATGCAAACCATAACAAATTCTTCTTCAAAGTGTTTAGGCACTGTGATATTTTTTCATGGATCAGGTAATTATTTTGATTTTGACCAAGATATCAAATATCCATCCAATAATTATCAAAAAACAACCTAAAAAGTTGTTCGATGGAATTGTCACCCTTGGCGAATGATGAAAGGATGGAAAATCTATTAAATCAGAAAATATTTGAAATCTTTGACTAGGCCTACAGGATGAATATTTCAAACTGGTGATTGTTACCATACAGTACCAGTACTGCAAAATATTTTCATTTAAAAACAAAGCTACCAGTGGGCAGTTATTACTTTGCCTGGCAAACTTATCTTTAAAGTGTGAAAAAAGTGTTTCTTATTAAAAAGCTAAAGATTTGATATATCTGTTTTAAGCGTTTTGTTTTACTTACAAATGAAAAATAAAATTTGCTTTGTTGTCCTTTGCTAGTACTAGTAGGCTATGAAAGTTGGATTAGGCTTAATAGTTCATAGGCTTACAAGCTAGATTTTTAAGATTTTTAACTGCTAAAAGTTGAAAAATTCTAATGAAGCCAATATCATATTTATATTATGTCGAGTATTTCAGTAAGAGTTACTGAGCAAGAAGCAAAGCCTTATAACATTATTTTCTGTTTGATGTCCTAGGTGACTCTGGTACAGGAATCAGGCAATGGCTTAAGATGGAACTTGGTGAAGAGTTTTCATTTCCACATCTAAATGTTGTTTTACCTACAGCACCAGCTAGGTATAGGGCCAACGGAAAATTATTTTTTATAGTATTATAGTCTAGCATTATTATTAAGATTTAGATGAGTAACTGCTGTAACCCTTTAAATTACCTTAAAATAGATCTTCTATTAAATACTACCAAGTGGTTGTATGTTACAATGAGAAAATTGCATTTGACAAGAGTTGAGCTTACAATATAAGGTACCGTATATTATAGTTAAATAGTTAACAATTTCTTTCCCAGCTGAAAAAGTTTAATTTAGTGTTTTTGTTCTAAAGGCCTTACACACCAGCTGGTGGAGCATTAAGTAATGTATGGTTTGATCGGAATGATATTTCTCAGAATGTGCCAGAAACAGAATCAGTAAAAACTATGTGTGAAAATCTAGAGCCATTAATCACAGATATAGTGGAGAAAGGAGTACCAAAGAAAAACATAATTTTGGGTAAGCATATATACACATTTTTTATTGAATATTTAGTGCTAAATCAAGGATTTTGTCAAGAGCTAACTGTAAATTAACCATTTAATTGAAAAATACTGCAACAATTTGAAAATTTATTGATCTTAACCAAATGTCTTTTGTAGACGTTGGTATATATATTAATTGGTTTTCATGTAGTTCAAAATGCATCAGGTGCAGAAACTAAAATATATTGATACGATATTTTCTTTATTGTTATATATAACAGATTTTGATTTTCTCATTTTAAAGGAGGGTTTTCTATGGGAGGTTGTTTAGCTATGCATATGGCATACAGATTCCATCCAGACGTAGCAGGATGTTTTGTGTTATCAGGATTTTTAAATACAGGATCAAGTGTGTATGATGTAAGTATCTCTGGTTATTTGTGAATGTTGTTTTTAAAGAATTGTCCCTAGATATGCATACAAATTGGCAAAAAATAGACCTAAATAGATAGTCATTTTTTAGAGTGATAAATTTTTTTTCTATTATAATGCCATTGACAATGATAACAACCATTGCACAATACTTGTGTCACTTTAGGCATTGATATTTGATAATGGCCAATGTAGACCATCTGTCAGTATCAGTTATTTGAATTGTTTTTTTCAGGCCGTTCAAGCAGCTAAAATTCCAGTACCACCATTATTCTATGCTCATGGAAAAGATGATGAATTAGTGCATTATGACTGGGGAGTCAACACCTATGAACAATTGAAAAAATTGGGAGTGAAGGGAGAATTTCATTCATTTGACAATCTTAGCCACTCATTATATAGGAAAGAATTAGATTTAGTAAAGAAATGGATCACTCAACAGATACCTGAATAAAATGTGGGGAAGGATAACTGAGTGACAATTTATTCATTTGCATAGAGTGAACATCGCTTCTCTTAATCGAACATTATATTCACAGATAAAATTCATATCAAATTAAAACCCAATGTACCCAATTATAGATTATAGAAAATCACTTTCAAAATCAACTTTCACTCTTGCTATAACTGATATATTTTCATTCATAGTTTTACTTTTATATTTTCTCAATAAATTTTACATATAAAATTTGATTATAATATACATATTATGTAACTTTGAGTCACAACGTGATTCAAGTTCTGTTTTATAATTTCTATATCGATCTGCAATTCATGTATTTAGCACTATTTTAACGGTGAAAATATTTTATTATTAATTTTTCTATCATATCAAAGCACAAATCAAACAGATTTAATGAATGCCTAAGAATATAAAAAACTTAATTTGAGTTATGTTACATCTCTAAAAGAATTAAAGAATCTAAAAACTTATCATTTTTGTCTGTTGGAGTTGGAGGGAGAGTGAAATGATCTACTTTGTTTAAATACATTTAATTTCTTAAGTCAGAATGATAAATGATAAAAAAATTAAATTTTGTGTTGAAAATGATCAACGTTTATATAAAATTGTGTCTTGTCTATGCATATATACCACTCAGCATACGGGTTAATTTGTTATTTGTAGTCTGAATGCGGACAAATTAACTCCCTTTAACAGATCTTCCTTAAGAAAACACAAATACTCCGATGACAACCTTTAGTTTACAAATGGCCGACATTTGCAGCTTTTTCTTTGAAGAAGTGTTTTCTTTTGCATAATTACATTTAACAGCTCAAAATATTTGAAAGATCATGTCGTTACAAACAGAAGAAACCAACATCAACAGTGTTGTTGGCAAATTAGAGGAGCTATGTATGATTACTGAATGTTTTATCCATTAGTTTTATCCTATTTCCCCATTTCATTTTTAGTAGAAGGACAGTTATTTTATTAACTTATTTATTAAGAGTTGAAGGCCTACAATTACGTTCACTATATTATGGCTTTGAGTAAAAAAAAGAAGTAGTTTGATGATGTTTACAGTTTTCATAATCTAGGAATCTAGGATATGGTATCCTATCAGCAGGGGGATAGCAAAGTAAAAACTCTTTTTGAATCCAATTTTTATGACAATTGGAATAGCAACCACAAAATTGTACTGTTAGTCTTAGAATATAGAAATATAAACATTTGTGACTTTTTGGGGTTGAAATTTCTAGGCGAGAAATGTGTTCCTTTTCAATGTAAACTTACAAACAATTATATTTTTATCAACGCAAAGACGTTCTGATGTCAATACTATTTTGAGGCTGATATTCCATTTATCTTTAAAATTATTGAATAAATTAAAAAAACTTTTTAATTTGTTCAGACAATATTCATTTGAGAACAGAATTAGTAATAATAATAGCCTACGTTACTAATAAAAAAAAATGTAAATCCCAATTATCTAATATCATAATATTAGATTTATGTAAGTCTTCTTTTATAAGGTTTTGGAGGTCGAAACAACATGTTGTATTAATGCAAGTATGTGCTAATCAATCAATCATTGTTTTCATTCCAATTTTTAATTTTGTTATTGACTGTTAAAAAGATAATATTTATTTGGACTACTAATGGCTAAGCTTTTATCTCAATAAAATTTGAGTACACTAGAATGACAATTGATTCTTCAAAAATCACAAAATTAAAATATTTGAGTAATTCTTATTTGTAGCTGTTCGCTTGAGAAGTGTTGATTTCGGTTTTAAAGATAAAGATGTTAGAAATATTGATGTAGTTATTGCTGCTATTAGGGAGTTGGTATGTATATGAAATATATTTGTATCCTGTTCTTTTTTGCTTCACTCAAGGTCAATGAGTCCAATCAATATAAGCTTATAAGCTGAATGAAAGTTTAAACTGTTGAGACTTTAAGGCAGTTGTCAACATTCTTAAATTCCAGCTTTTTATAATTTATTTTGAAGAAGTATAAAGATAGATGAAATTAAGCGCTATCACTGAATATAGCAAGCATGTAGACAACTTTTATTCTTTAAAAGCTGACATAAGTTAACTTATGAGTCATTTGAAAAATCTTATTTTGTTTGAGAAAAGATTGTTATAGATATAAATTTCTGAATAGAAGAAGATAGTGTTTGTTATATTTTATAGGACAAAGAAAGATTAAGAATGCATGATAAACTTGAAACAGAAACAATAAAAGCCAGTGTTATCAGACATAAATTACAGTTTTTACCTTCACAAATAAAAAATGAAATCATGAGTAAGTATTGAAATTTTGATTCCGGTATTTAAAGGGATTGTAAGGAGATTTTCAAAATTTTTTATTTTAATCAAACACCTGTTTTTCCAGCCATTCCACAAAAGTTTGATGATGTCACTAATCACAAAGTGTGCTTATATCACATAAGGCCCTTTTCAATTAGTGACGTCATCAAACACTTAGTTCTAGTGGAATTGCAGGAACCTCAGATTTAAAATTGATGCTGTGATAACTGATATAACATGCTTTGATCGCACAATCCTGTATCATTGGAACTAGACAATATAACTAGACATAATTATCCAAATGCAGATAATTCAAAAGTAGAATTACCTTTCATAAGTTGCACTTTCCAATGATTTGTTTCCATTTCAGAGGCAGTCAATTCAGCTCGTCAGTCTAACACTAAAAGTTTAGAGGATTTACAGAGTCAACTAGATACAATTAATCATAATATTATAACAATGGGTAAAGAACAACAAGAATTAGAACATGAAAATTCACTATTGCAGTACGTTTTTTTAAGTTTCTTGTCAATGTTTCAAGTGTCTATCATGCAGACCAAGAGAGCTGCTGAAAGGACAAGATATGATCTTTGTTCTTTTAGTACCAAGATAGAGAGTTTTTTGCTTGTTTTTAACATTAGCATCTGTGTCAGCCAAAAACTTCACTTTATGAATAGAATGATGCAGTTCTGACCAAATTTCCCAATGCACACTGCATAACATTGTCAGATTTGAGCCTGATTAAACTCCATTTAATCTTATCTTTTATTATTTTTAGCCCAGAGAGAGAAATGATAAGACAACAACATGAAGAAATTATTTCACTTTTAAATCAACGTTTAGCTGAAAAAGCTAGGTATGTTATGTTTGATAATTAATAGAAGAGATATGATATTTAATATTAATAAAACAGATCTATAGTCAATAATATACAATATGATAATGTCTTATTTTAAAAATGATCTCTTTTCACTGCTTTCTATGATTTGTGAACAGTGATTTATATCATGTGTTTTATACTGTTACCTTTGAGAGTTGATAACTGGAACACTTGAGCAATTGGATTATAATAATGCAACCATGTCGCCAGAAGTGAATTGGTGCTGGAGTTCGGATTTTGTGTCTAAGTGGGGCGAGCGTTGCTTGTCTCCTCTAAACTAAGAGCAGAGGGTCTTAAGACCCTCTCCCATGAAATTTGAAAAACTACAAGCCTGTGGCCATACCTCTTTGACTCTACCCTCATGACGGGGCTGTAATAACGGCAGGCTACATTATATGTACTTTTTATTTTTCAGTATGCAGATTACATTGAATGAAACTAGAGATAAAGTCAGATCTGCCAATCAAAATGTAAGAGATTTGTTAAACACTCTATTTTATATCAGACATTTTAGTATTGTTTAATGTGAAATATGAATTTATAAAAGAAGAATGTTACATTTCATCTCAAAGATAAATGTTGTTACTATCAGTACTATTCTAGATATATTTTATATAAATTGTAGATTGTTGATTTAGAAGATGGTATATTACAATTAAAAGAAGATTTGATACAAGAAAGGACTGAAGCTAGGCATGAAAAGAAAAGATTAAAACGTGCAGTGGTGAGTTAACTTTAAAAAGATTTTTTATTGTTCAGTTTATTTTTAACTAAGCTAATACTGTTCACAGCTTACCATTGAAATTTGAACCTTCAAATCCATATGTGTCTAGATTCATCCCCTGAAAATGGCAATTGTAAGTAATGCCTTATTGTTACTGAAATGAATTGAAATACATTTTGATCATTTTATTATTTTTTCAGGCTGATACATCTGATCAAACAAAAGAACAAACAGAAATAAACTTAGAGAAGAAAAAGTAAGTGTTTTCATGGTATTTTGTCCAATTCAAATCCAATATTGATTTTATTGTCATATCTTATAAAGCAAACCAAGATTATCAAGCAAATATATATATATATGCATCAGGGTATAAATAAAAACAAGCGATTATTTCGTTTTGATTTTGGGTAGAATACGTAGTAGTTTGTAACATAATCCACACTTATATTTTGTTCATAACTACTAACCCTACCTAAATATAAATAAGAGTGCTCATGTTTGTTTTGAATCTTACCTTATCTTTAGATGTACTAAAATATCTATGCTGAACTATTCTATTCATTGAATGATGTTTCTTCATTTGAGGCAAAGTGTTCAAAGTAAAGTAATTCTATTATATTATTTTTTAAAGAGAATTAGATGAACTACAAGATCAGTTACAAGACAGTGTTGGTAAACTAGATATAGTTAAAAAGGTTTGACCATTTAATTTACATAAAACAATATTTATTTTGATTTCCATTTCCACTAATTATAATGTTCTTAACATGGTTTGTAATATTTTTTAAACAGCATCAGCAAAATTTAATGTTAACCTTGTAAAGTACAGACATTTTTTTTATCTTTTTTTTAAACCACATTGGGTACAAAGTTCATTTGATTTTTGTAGAAAGTACGTCGCTATGAAGCTACTATCAAGAAATTAGAAAAAGAAGAAAAACAACTTAATAGTCAACTAAAGAAACAACTTGATATGAATCAAAATTTGGTGGATAAAGGGTAGGACTTAAAGTTATTATGTGAATTTTCCACCAAGGTATTGGTGATACATGAATTGTATTGTAAATAGACACCCAAGTAATGCCAGTTTTCTAT